TTATTACCCGAACCCGACTCGGTTACTTCGGGTCGGGTTCGGGTTTCTTTTTTTTTTTTTTTTTTTTTTTTTTTTTTTTTTTCTTCTTCCTGACACCAATATTCAATATTAATGTTGATATTGGAACTATTACCTACTACAAAGCCATATATTAATTATAAAAAAAAAAAAAAAAAAAATTAGTTGCCAACATAAAACTTGAACTACTAAACAAATTGTTGAAATATAAAAACAAGAATTGGAAGCTCTAAATGAAATTTATTAGATGAAACTCAATAATAAATAAATAAAAAGAATATATAGATTATATATTTAGATGGGCTGGAAATTGGGTTGGACTTGGGTGAAAGTGGGCTCGTAGTTTAGTTTTTTGTTTTGTTTTTTTTTTTTTCAGTTTTTTTTTTTTTTAATTTTAGCTGGGTACCTGATTGGGTTTCCGATTAGGAGTACTAAAACCCGGACCCGACCCGGTTTAACAACACCAGATATCCGAACCCGGCAAAACCCAGTAGACTTGAAAATTACCCGATTCAGTCGGATAAAACCCGACCGGGTCAGGTCACAACCCGAATAACCCGATCCGAATGCCACCCCTAGTGTTAACTCTTCAATTTTTTATTTTTTCTCCAAAATCTTATATAAATTATATATAGGAACAATGAGTTTTTTAGTCCTGTAAGTTTGCTAGTTGAGAGTTGTAGTCCACCATGTTTTGAATTCAGAATTTTAGTCCTGTAAGTTACGAAAAAATCCATCAAATTGATAAATTTATGGGTGTTCATTCGGTAAAATTAATAATATTTAAAATTTTGATTGATTTATTTTTAATTAATATATATATATATATATATATATATATATATATATATATATATATATATATATATATATAAAAAATAAAACTGAATACCACACATAATTAACGGTTCGGTAATTGGCTTGTTCGAATTTTTGTTCGGTGCGATTCGATTGGTTTACCGACCGGATGAACACCCTAGGTAAATTTGACATTGTAAAGGTGGACGTGTAAGACACTACATAGTTAAGGGGTGGTTGTAATTATGCAAACAAAAGAGTTTTTTTCGTAATTAATTTGCCCTAGATTAGACAATATATATTCTATATTGACCGGATGAAATATACTAGATAATTTTACACTGTGAATTTACACACAACCGCGCATATATGCATATGCATATATATGTAAAATAAGTAATTGACATATACATGTACACTGAAATCCCATTCAGTAAAATTCACCAGATATATGATCGAATAAAATAAACTGATGATATATACACGTATATCAACAAAATCAACACTTTGTCTTATTACAACTTACAAGCTTATTTGTTAAAAATTATATACCCAGGGCTGGACCTAGATGTTTTTCTTGGGTGCTGAAATAAGGGGTGATTTAAGAGAATTTTGTTTTTTTATTTTTATGGACTAAAATGTTTAAAATAAAAAATTTGAGGAAAAATGAATGAAAGTATATTAAGCAATACATAAATTATAAAAACAAATTGTTAAAAAATAAATTATGGGGGCGAGGGCCACCCCAAGCATACACATGATTAGGGATGAAAGTCGGATGGATCGGATCGTAATTAGCCTTTTCGGAAAGTTTTCAAAAAAATTTGGAAGTGCAAAATCAATTCCAATTCCAATTCCAAAATTTTCGGAATCTAAAAATTCATTCCAATTCCAAAAGCCCGGAAATTTCGAAATTTCGGAAAAAAATCGGAAAATCACAAAAGCTTTAAAATTTCAAAACTTAGCCGAAATTTTCTAAAATGTCCATAAATTTTAAAAAATAAGAACATTCACGTCGATAAAAGTAAAACTAATTACTACAAAGTTTCAGTTCAAAAAAATAAATAAAAATAAACACAACATAATATCCAATAAAACTTATAATAACAATTCATTATGTCAAAATCCTAAGAGAAAACTTATAGGTGTATTTTTCGGAAAATAAATATTATTTATAGGTGTATTTTTCGGAAAAAAATCGGAATTTTTTGGAATTAATTTCGGAATTAAATCGGATCGGAAATCAGAAATTCCAAATTTATTTTATATAATTCCAATTTCATTCCAAAAAAATCGGAAAAATTCGGAAATCGGAATTTCGGAAGTCGGAATAAAAAAAGTTGTTCCAAAATCGGAACTTTTCGGATCGAAACCGGCAGAAATTGGAAATTTCGTTCCAACTTGCACCCCTTCCAACTTGCACCCCTGTACATGGCATACACATGGTTACGCTCCTATGTATACCACTATACATATATATAAAATAAAATAACATACAAACATCACATGCAATAAAATATTCCATCAACAATTAATATGATAGTAGTGGAATAAAATATATAGTCAATATAAATGTGCCCTCCACAAATTGGTAATCCGACAAATTATCCAACCACAAATGATTACGAGCACAAGTCAAATTTGGCACCTTCACTACAATTTATAAGACATCCCCCAACTTCCGTTTCTCCACATAACGCCGTTGAAAGTTCAAATCATTACGTCACAGCACAAGAAGACGACGCCTACTCCGTTAGTAATCTTCCGTCTAGTTTTAGAGTACGCAACCCCCACTCCATATTGGTTTTATGCTGCATCCCTTCAAATTTTTTACTACTAAATATTGCTTCACTCAATTGCCCTTTCAATTTATTTTGTTAAAAAAATCTTCAATATTGTCAAATCCAAAATAATTCTTTCAAGTATTATTATAAGTTGTAAAATATTTCATATGTTCTTCAAATTTCGTACATTAGATTTTTTTTTCCTCACAAAAAATTATTACAGTAGAGAAAATTTTTTATGGAAGTATACATCATTCATATTCAGCTCGAATGATGTATACTTCCATTTATGTGTTCTTTTTGGAATAGAAATAAGGGTTGACAGGACCGAAGCGAGGATTTTATCAGTGGTGCCGCCGAATAAGCATTAAAAAATTACGTAAATAAATCAATGAAAACAATGATTGTTCTAACATTGGCGAATCTAGAATGTTGTTACACGATAAACTTAAATTTTTGGATTTCAGGGGCAGCACTCCTGAAAAAAATTCGGATATTGTTTTTTCGACAAAATCTGAATATGAAAAGAAAAACTTAGGACCATTTTTGCATTTATTTTGATTTTAGGTGTAGTAAATAAATAAAAATTTGGTGGACTTAAAAGATATATAGGTGTGATAAGTGAAGATTTTTACAATTGAGGATAGCTTGAGTCTGTCATTTCCAAAGAGTGGATTCACTCCTGGTGGTTCATAGTCACTATTTGTAACTCTCTTATTCTACTTGTTAGATCCATTTATTATTTTCTTTGTCTTCTACAATTAAAAATAGTTAAATTTTTTTTTTTATATATAATTAAATTGTTAAAATTGATAAGTGAACAATACAAAGTCAAAAAACTTTATATATAAATATATATGAAGTAGTTAAAAAATAAAATTTGAGAGTCGACCATAGCTCCCTGGCCCTACACCATCTTCCCACTTGAGGGTTGATCAAGTTCTTTTTGGAAATGTTTTATTGTAAATTGATGTATAAGTTGATTTGAGCTGGATTTACGATTTTTTGGATTAAAAAGTAATATAGTTGGATATTTTAGAAGTCTTTCAATAAAAATAACTAAGAAAACGTCAATTATTATATTGTTACACCTAAATATTTAAGACCTGTAAAAATTGTCATATTTTGAAAGTGGCACATAATATTTCCTTCACACAAGTTCTCATTGGATTACAATTTTCGATGGCGACCTATACTTATTATTCTAATTCAAAGAATCCATAATATAATGTAGGTCGACCATCAACAACCGCATCGGTTTATGAGATTCTACGCTCGTAAATAAATATTTAAGCAAAGTAGATTTTTTTTATAAAACATCAATTGAGCTTATAGGATCATGTTAAAAATGTGAAACCAGGTCACGTGAGTTTTAACTATGTATCATTTGAAAGTGTATCAAGACGTAATTAGCATTGGCGGTCGAACCTAATATTAATTAATTAATTAATTTAAGCACATAAATAAATATAAGGATAGATTACACCTACACCCCTAAGGTAGTTTAAAATAACTTTAAGGTCCTTGTGGTATCGGTAATTACAATGACACGTTAAACATTGTTAGAAACCATAACTAAATAATTTATTGGATAAATAATTCTGTTAGGGTTCTAACGGACTATTAGTTTCAGAAAGTGGTGGAGACAACATAGAACTAGGGGGTGACAATGTACCCCCAACATTTCTTAAATCATTATTATTTTATATTAAATTTATAAATTTCAATCTATGGTACCATTAACGGCCCCGTAGAAAACAAATATAGTGTATATTGGTCCCCAGAACATGAAAACTTGGCTTCGATAATTGTTTGAGGGGTGTGGTTGTAATTACCAATACCACAGGAACCTTAAAGTAATTTTAGCATACATCGAGGGTGTAAGTGCAATTTACCCTAAATATAATATATCCATTAAAAGAGAACAGTCAAACTGGTATATACTCTTCCCTCATAATTATATGCCACAACAAACAAATTCATCTATTAATTTTCCTCTACCACCTGGTCTATATATATAATAATAAAACAATAATCATAATAATTGAATAAGTTATACATATACATCATTATCTATAAACTATTTCCCACAGAAAATAAACACTTGCTCCAAACTACAGCTCCATCAACATATATGTATGTAGTTTTTAATTTTTAATTCTTTTTCAAAAAGGAAAAATTCAAGCTCCCTCTTTATTTAAATTAACAGTATATATATATTATTTCCAATTAATCAGTCATTTCAATAATTGCGAATTTTTCGTAGTAGTGGTTTCAGTCGTGGATTTAATTGATTGAAAATTCCCCTGTTTCCCACTACTCTTTTATGCTGTAATATGTTTACTACTACCTCAATTTATTACAACTTTACATCATATATTATATGTATATATGTATGTATATGTATATAGATACATATTACTTACAATTCTCGTTGTTGCAGAATTTTGAAACAAATATGTATAAGGTGAGATTTGAGCAGCAGCCAGATGAATCTACACCGGAGGATAGCTGCCTCGAAACCGATCCAACCGGCCGTTATTTTCGAGTAATTTTTTTTTTTTTGAAGTTATTTATATATATATATATATGTATTTATATATATATATATATATATATGTATTTAAATTTGATTTGATTTGATTTGATTAAGATCATGTATAAATGAACATGTAATGAAAGAAGAGCACCTAATTGATTGTGTATGAATTTATATAATATGACACAGTTTGAGGAAGTTTTGGGGAAAGGAGCATCGAAAACCGTGTACAAGGCGCTCGACGAATTGCTCGGGATAGAAGTGGCATGGAATCAAGTTAGGCTCGTTGATTTGCTTCGATCGCCGGACGACTTGCAAAGGGTCTACTCGGAAGTTCACCTTCTCAGCACGCTCGATCACGACTCCATCATCCGGTTCCACACTTCTTGGGTCGACGTCGGAAACCGAACATTCAATTTTATTACCGAGATGTTCACTTCCGGCACCCTCCGAGAGTAACTTTTTCTCTACCCCCACCACTACTAGTTTAATTGATAATTAACTTAGTATAGTTTTCTGAAGTTTTTTTACAATTCAATTTCGATCAAATTTGAAAAAGTCAATTTTGTATGTCCGCTTCAAACTGAGTGTCGACACGTTTCTCTAACCAAAAAACTCAAGCGGACGCTTAATTTTCGAAAAATAGAAGTAATATGAAACATTATGGTATTGGATTTGATTTAATGTGCAGATACAGAGCAAAGTACAAGCGAGTGAATATACGAGCTATAAAGATATGGGCCCGCCAAATACTCGAAGGCCTCGTATATTTGCATGGCCACGATCCACCGGTAATACACAGAGACCTCAAGTGCGATAACATATTTGTTAATGGCCACCTCGGACAAGTCAAAATCGGCGATCTTGGATTGGCAGCAATTCTACAAGGCTCGTGTAGAGCACACAGCGTTATAGGTACGATTTCTTCGATAAAACTACCATTTATTATATGGTTTATAAGTTTGACTATATTAGTAAATATTAACTATTTCGTATTCTGGTATTTCATTTTTTGTAGGCACGCCGGAGTTTATGGCACCGGAATTGTACGAAGAAAACTACAACGAACTGGTCGACGTATACTCGTACGGGATGTGCGTTCTTGAGATGATTACTTCCGAATATCCCTACAGTGAATGCACGAACCCTGCTCAGATATACAAGAAAGTCACATCGGTAAGATTTTATTTTCACGCACATTACAAATTTCGCATAAAACGGTAAAAGCGTAAATAATCACGATGCCGTTTCGAATTTCGTTTAAAAGGGTAGAAAGCCGAGGGCGTTTTACAAAGTTCAAGATTTGGAAGCACAAAGATTCATTCGGAAATGCTTAGAAACCGCATCGAAGAGATTATCCGCGAAAGAACTAATGCTCGATCCATTTTTAGCCGTTGATCATTTCGATGATCTGATCTCCGAGTCAACGATTAAAAACCAAAAACCTTTTCTGAACGACAAAATTGAATTTGAGCACCTCCAATTGGATGATAATGTTCCGAGAACCAATATGACTATAACGGGGAAATTAAACCCCGATGATGGAACCATATTCCTCAAAGTTCAGATAGCCGATAAAGAAGGTAACTAACTCTCAATTTTTTTGAAGTCCCTCGTCGTTTTAGCACATTATTCGATTCTTTTTTTTTTCCTACCGATGTATGTGGTCTCTTTAAATTTTAGGTGATGTGAGGAATGTATTCTTTCCGTTTGATATTGTTAATGATACTGCCCTTGAAGTCGCAAATGAAATGGTGAAGGAGTTGGAGATAAATGATTGGAGACCATCGGAAATTGCGAATATGATCGATGGGGAAATATCGGGTCTAGTTCCCGACTGGAGGGCCCACCATCCGCAGCCAGCCCATTTTCATGTAATGAATAATTATCAAGAAGATGATTATGACCATCAATATACTCTCTTCTCTCATTCCTCGTCGTCCCAACTATCGTCTCATAGGATGGAAACGAGGCCTCAGAATAGTAATTGGCTTCAAGGTATTCGTTTTTTCCTTGACGATGCATTTATTAAAATAAAAAAAACAATTGGTTAATAATGAATAATCGTACTTAAAGAAAACAAATATTTGTCTTTTTAAGGTGAATACTTTGATGATACGAGCTCTCAGAGCTCCTCGCATTCGGAGAAGTATTCCGGTTGGGCTTATGAAGATATGCTAAGCCCATCAAGATTCTATCCCGGAGAAAACTCGGTTAACGGGCAAAATCTCGCTAAAGTTTGCTACAGACAAAGCAAGAATATAGTGGAACCAAGAGAAGCTTCCGCTTCTAGAAGCAACTCCGAGATTGAAATGCCTAGGTTGACGAGAAATCGGTCACTGGTGGATACTCGAAGCCAGTTGTTGCATCGTTCGCTAGTTGAGGAGGTCAATAGAAGACGACTATTCAAGACTGTTGATGCTGTAGAAGATATCGGGTTTCGATCTCCTTTTGATGTTTCGGTGAAAAATACGCAGTTTACGAGTCGGGCTAGTAGACAAGATCATAGAGCAAGAAGAGTGTAATATTTTGCTTCTAGATATGAATATCATCTCATCAAATCGATTAGGGGGATGACGAATGTAGGGTACATTATACATGTAAATATAAATATTAAATGTTATATTAAATTTTATGTATAGGCTAATGTGTAAATAATCAGATTTTCTATTGAACTAAGAGCAACTCATATGGGTTATCAAATAGAATATTCAAACATTTAACCACTATCTATCTACATATAAAAGTATAGAAATTTTGAACTCTGATGGAGTTATCAAATGAATGTATTATTGTGATAATTCACCTCATGAGATATAAATTACTTTCTGAAACTTGAGTTATAAAAAATGTAACCTCATAAACATCCAATTAGAATATGACATCTGGCAATTACAAATAAATCGATAAACTTACAAATGACAATTAATTTGATAATTATGGTTGGACTAGATGAATTTTAAATCAAAATTATAATATTATCTCAAATATCAAATAAGTATTTGATAGCACAATTTTTATGCCTAGTATTAGAGTTGTTCTGAGAATCGGAGTCAATCGGGAAGCAAGTCGATGAAGTCAAACATAGGTGGAAACGCAAATTGACTCGAACCTTGAGGACAAGGTTCATTTCAAGAGGGGTGGTTTATACGATTTATTATTTAATATATTATTTAATTATTAGTTAGTTAGTATTTTATTATTAATTAATTAGAATAGTTTATTTATAATGAATATAGCCCACGTCTGTTTAGGGTTATTATATATATTAAGTATTTAATTAGTATAAGTAATTATCTTTCCTAGTTAGATTAGGATTCTAGGGTTTTATTCTCTTTAAATAGTCGTATTGTGTTAGGGTTTTATAATGAAGAGAAATAATAAAGAAGATATTTCTTACGTTTAGTAAAGAAATCTTATGATACTCAAGAGATCGCATCAGGGCCCAATTAATAATTGATCCTTTGTAAACAAACAAACCATATATTGAATTGTGTGGCCGCCTTAGTCCAATGTTAATGCACATTATATCCTTTTTTGCCATGTCTTTTCTCGTTATTTCTCTCTTATCCGTCATTTATATTCTTCATTCATTTCTCTCTCTTCCTTTTTTTCCTCACTTTGACGTGTTTTTCCTTTTATTGTTCTTCTTTCATCTCTTCTCTCTCTTCCCCCATTTTCTTTCTTCTTGTCTCTTTCTCTTTTTTTTTTTTTCTGTTTATTTTTCTCCATTCCTTCTCACTGCCTTGCCTTTTCTTCTACATCTCATTTTTTGTCGTTGAAATCAATCTATTATCTACTCTATGACATGTCATGCTTTCACCGCAAATGATATTTTTATACTATGTTATCTTAAATTGAAAAATAACTAGCATTTTCTCCCTGTACGATGCCCGTGATATTATTTCAAAAGTGAAAAAAATAATCAATTTAATACATGATAAGAAAATATAGAATACTAACATAGTAAAATTTAATAATGTAGTATAATTCATAGTTTATATAACATTAGATTTTTTTTTTTTAAATATGATATATTAAGATTTATAATCCACTTATATAGATTAATAACGAATCGAATTTCTATCTTTATCTCTTTAGATTTGAGATATATTGATGAAAAATAGGAGATTGATAATTGTTGAAAATTATGGTTAAAACATTAGTAGACAAAAAATTATTAATAATAAATAATTACAAAAGTACCATTATATAGGATTCTTCAGGATTTAGTTTTAATTTTGATAATTGTTAAAAATTAGTAGAGAAAAAACATATTAAAAATATTTAATTACAGGAATACCATTAGGGTTTTTTAGGGTTGCCCAACGTTTCTTTCTTTTATATATAAGATATAAGATATAGTGAATTAATGAAAAAAATATAGTTGACTACCATTTTTTTATAGTTTACATTGGAAAAATATAGTTGACTATATAATTTTTATGGTTGACTCTGGCAGCAATATAGTTAACTACCAATTTTTTTATAGTTGACTACCATTGTTATATAGTTGACATAGGAAAAATTATGGTTGACTATCTAATCTTTATAGTTGACTTTGAGAACAATATACTGAAATACCCGTGTTTTATAGTTGACTCTGGGTGTAGATGTACAATATTTTGTGTTTTTCGCCACAACAATGATCTCTTCTTTGTCGTGGACTCTGATAAAATAAATTTTATAGGAAACAAATATTTACGAATCAACAAATAGTGCGACACTGAATTTGTAGATCTAAGAAACAAGCTTATATTGAAACCAAACAACAACATCTTCTTCGATAGCCGATCAAGATTACTTTTACGAGGTAAAAACGAAGAATTTTTTTTTGAAGGGTGTAATCGTGTTGTACAACACGGGGAAGTATAAAAAAATTAAGTAATCTTCCCCTAGAGGACGGGAATCTAGGGTTTTAGTTTTTTTTTTCTTTTTTGTTTTACTTTATTCCTAAGTAATAATTTTTTTTTGAATGATCTAGGATTGCTTGAAGAATCTTCAAGTTTCCGTGCACTAGAGAACGGGAAGTTCAAATTTTTTAGGAGGTTACACCGAATTTTTAAGGTAGATATTGTGTATCGTTTCATTTTTTCCATCATTATTTAATTCTCTTCTCATTTCCGTAACTTATTTTTAATCTAAATGTAGGGAGCGGTTGGTGCATTTGATGGAACACTAGTACATGCCGTTGTTCCAATTTCAAAGCAAACTATATAGAGGAAATAATCAATGCTATCAAAATGTTATAGGAATATGCGAATTTAATATAATGTTTACGTTCGTTTGAGTAGGTTGTAAAGGGGTAACACATGATGCAAGAGTCTTAACAGATACAGTTGCGGATCCGAGAAATGGTTTTCCACTGCGTCTCACTGGTATTACTTTAAATTCAAACTATAAATTCTATACAAGGATAGTTTAGGTACTGATAGAAAAGTTGAGGGGATTTGACCCATTTAAAATAAAATAGGGTGTTTAGTTCTAATATTTTTCCTAATGAGGAGGTCTGCCTCATTACCCCTCATATTGTGTGTCGGTTTATGGTATAGCTTTTGTGAATCAACTATTTCTAAATTTTTGACAATTTATAAAGATATAGTCGAAGTTATTGTTAATGTTGTTTGGGGTAAAATTCATTCTGAATTTGTATGGTCAAAATAAAATTAGTTCGTGAAGATTTGATTTGGTTCAATATCATCCTCTAGGCCCAATTTCAACATCAAAATCAAATATTTTTTTAATCAATGCTCACATTGCCCTTCAAGATCTAGGGACGAAAATGAAATTGATCTAATTTGAAAGTTTTAGAATTATAATATTTATTATGTTAAATACTTTAATAAATCATATATTATTTAATAAAAATAAATATCACAATAAAACACTATATTGTTTAAATCTTGGACCCAAATAAAAATAAAAACAAATTAAATGCTCATATGTATGAACCAATAATTATAGCATTTATTGTGTTTAATATTTTAACATGAATATTACTATGTTTTGGGCTTCATACAACACATATACATTTTCATTTTAATTTTATATATAAACTAAGAGGGTGTTTAGCTAATTTTATAAAATGTTAAAAGAAGCTTATAAAATATTTTAAAGTTTATAAGATCTTTCAAAGTGTTTGGTAATTTAAAAAAGAAGATGTTAATTTTGTTAAAATAAACTGTTGGAGATGAAATAAGATCTTTTTAAAAAGTACATCTACGCAACCTTTTTATTTAAGATTTTATAATGAGTAAAAATATGAAATAAACTCATTATCCAAACGCTCTAAAAATTAATGCTGGAAATAAGATTTAACAACTTATCAACTTTTAAAACATTTTTATCAGATGTAAGAGTTTATCAAAGTTTAAAATAAGTTTAGAGAAATATCCTCTAAGTACTCCAACTTTTGTGAAAAATACGCGGGCTTCACACAGACTATAAAGTTTTAATCATGTGTGTCTAATAGATAAAAAAAATTACTAGATAAATATTGGACCCAATAGCTTTATTATTATTATAAACTAGATTTTCGACCCGTGTGATGCACGTGATTAAACTAAAATTAATGTCGCTTCCTAAGGATAATGTCGGAGTTCTGAAAGCATATATTAAAAGAATTGGACAAAATACGGGATTTGAATTTTAACTTGCAATGGCTTATGTCTCAAATTTTAAGAATTAGTAGTATTTATTTATGGTGATGGATTTGTTTTAAGTTTTGTAAGTTATTGCAAACTTTTTATGTTATTAGTTTCAATTTTAGTAAGGTCAGACTTGTTTAGTTGGTAATTTTTATAATAATAGAGTTGTTTTACATTTACCTTGTGAATTGGATTCCCTTTATGATTCAATATTTTGTTAATGATAGTTTGCATCCTCAAATATTTAATGTAGTGATCATTTTTGTTAACATGTCAAATATAAAAATTTACGAGATTATGATATTGATGATGATCTATTGGTACACACAAATTCGATCGAGATATTTGATGCATGTACCAAGAAACAGAGATAACAATTCAACATTGTCGGGACATGCTTACACATTGGAACTCTTATCTGGATCAGACACACAATGTATTGAATTAATGCGCATGTCCCGTGTTGCATAGATTCGTTTGAGTTTAGACAACGAGGGTGGCCGCATGATGTATTAGTAGAAGAAAAAATGGCAATGTTCTTGCAAATTATTGAGCATAATAAGCGTCTTTGTGTAGTGAAGGGTAGATTTTAACACTCTTCGCAAACAGTTCATGCGTATTTTCATGAAGTGTTGAGGGCAATGATGAATATGGCAAGGGACATAATAGTACCAACAACATTTGACTCGAATCCAAATATGTCGGCAAGATTTAGGAGGTTACACCGAATTTTTAAGGTAGATATTGTGTATCGTTTCATTTTTTCCATCATTATTTAATTCTCTTCTCATTTCTGTAACTTATTTTTAATCTAAATGTAGGGAGCGGTTGGTGCATTTGATGGAACACTAGTACATGCCGTTGTTCCAATTTCAAAGCAAACTATGTACATGGATAGAGGAAATGATCAATGCTATCAAAATGTTATAGGAATATGCGAATTTAATATAATGTTTACGTTCGTTTGAGTAGGTTGGAAAGGGGTAACACATGATGCAAGAGTCTTAACAGATACAGTTGCGGATTCGAGAAATGGTTTTCCACTGCGTCTCACTGGTATTACTTTAAATTCAAACTATAAATTCTAATTCTTTATACGTTAAATCAAGATCTCAAATTATTTTTATTATTATTACACAGGACCAGCCCATAGGTGTTGCGAGGGAAACATTTGTTTTGGGCCCCAACTTCGAAAGGGCCCCATAAAACAAATTAGTATATATATATATATATTTATCAAACGTAATGATGTAGTGTAGTCAATAATGCTCTAAAAAAAAAAAAATGGTTATTTCTCTCTTTATTTTTTCTGGGCCCAAATATCCAAAAGCCAAACAACAATTAAAAAAAATTGTATATGTATGAGTAGAAATGATGCTAGCGGAATTGCTTTTCATGTTATCACATTCGGTAAATCCCAAATAAAAGGTTTTTGTTCATTATGTTAGAGCATTTGATATATAATATATAATGAACTTCTCGATGTTTTGCAGTTGTTTTGCATCAAATTTTAACAAAGGTAATAAATTCTTATACTTTTCCATTTATCTGAACCGCTCACTCTTTTCACTACTTAATTTAGTTTGTTATTTAATATAGAAATCTATTGGACCGACCATGTTATTACAGGTAAATACTATCTTAGTGATGCAACATACACACATACTAGAGGATTTATGGTTCCGTATCGCAATGATATTTTAAATACTCCCGTATGCGTGATGCAGTCCTACTTGTTTTCTTAGTCAAAATTTACATAATCAAACAAAACTCACTTTTTCGATGACTTTTTTTAAAATCAAATATTTATTTTTACGATGAATACCCCGTGCAACGCACGGGTGAAGTACTAGTATGTATTGATGATAATCCCCTATACATAAACCCTTTTCCCATGTTTATTAAGTTAACTTTATGTTTCTAAGGTAATATAGTTGTATATTTATCTCATCTCAGTTAAGGTAGAAATTTTCCTAAGATTTGTAAACATCATGTTACAATTGGTAACACCATGTTACAATTAGTAACACCTCTCGTGCAATGCACAACATATATATTTTTGATTAGGAATTGTATTAAGTTATGTGCATCCATTCAGTAAATTATAAACATTAGTATAAGCAACAACTTAAAGTTAGATTTTACAAAAGTTAAATAAAAAATGCAGTAGGAAATGAAATTAGCAAATTGAAAGATTGAAAACAATAAATATAGACTAAAAATAATATATTAGACGAATTGAAAATGAAATATAATAGTAAAATGAATACAAATTTTTCTAGTTAAATTCTTCTCACCCAACTTCTATTTCTCCAATACAGTCCCTTTTTTCCCCCTTTTTTATTCTTAAAAACATCAAGTAATTACTTGGAATAGGAGCCAATAATTAAATATTGTCAAAATAAATTATATTAAATAAAATTAATTAAATAAATACTAATTATAACTATCAAATGAGCGGGATGAAAACCTTAAGCATGACCAAGAGCAATCTTACTTATGACCAAGAGCAATCTACTTTTTTATTAATAAGATAAGTAATACATTATACCGATGAAATTAATAATAGGAACCAATAATTAATTGCATAAATTTGAGGCAAAAAAATAGGAGCTAATAATTAAATAAATAAAAATTATAGCTATTAAATGAGTGGGAGAAAAAACTTTAGAGTTAGGAAGATCAACCTTGCTTTTATTAATAAGATTTACTATAAATCAAAATATTTTATTATTATAACGCAAATGGGTTATTTCACACACCCCCTAGACACCAAATAAACAAGGGATAAACACAAGCCCAAATCATCATTTGACATACCCCCTAGAGAAGTGAAAGTACTATACTACCCTTATATGCAATTTTCGGCCAAACTGCATTCAGCATTTCTGGTCCTGCATTTATCATTTTCGTTGATTTATTTATTATTATTAATTTTTATTTTTTTTAATAATAAACCTGTTTGTTAAATTTATATATATATATATATATATATATATATATATATATATATATATATATATAATAATAATAATAATTAACGGTTCGGTAATTGGCTTGTTCGAATTTTTGTTCGGTACGATTCGATCGGTTTACCGACCGGATGAACATCCGTAGGTAAATTTGACATTGCAAAGGTGGACGTGTAAAACACTACATAGTTAAGGGGTGGTTGTAATTATGCAAACATGAGAGTTTTTTTAATAATTATAACTTACCTCAGGGGTGTGGCCGTAATTTGCCCTAGATTAGACAATATATATTCTATATTGACCGGATGAAATATACTAGGTAATTTTACAATGTGAATTTACACACAACCGCGCATATATACATATGCATATATATGTAAAATAAGTAATTGACATATACATATACACTGAAATCCCATTCAGTAAAATTCACCAAATATATGATCGAATAAAATAAACTGATGATATATACACGTATATCAACAAAATCAACACTTTGTCTTATTACAACTTACAAGCTTATTTGTTAAAAAATTATATACCCAGAGACGGACCTAGGTGTTTTTCTTGGGTGCTGAAATAAGAGGTGATTTAAGAGAATTTTGTTTTTTTATTTTTATGGACTAAATAAAATAAACAATTTGAGAAAAAAATGAATGAAAGTATATTAAGCAATACATAAATTATAAAAAAAAAAATTGTTAAAAAATAAATTATGGGGGCGGGGGCCACCCCAAGTATACACATGACATACACATGGTTAGGCTCCTGTGTATACCACTATACATATATATAAAATAAAATAAACATACAACATCACATGCAATAAAATATTCCATCAATAATTAATATGATAGTAGTGGAATAAAATATAGTCAATATAAATGTGCCCTCCACAAATTAGTAATCCGAAAAATTATCCAACCACATATGATTATGAGCACAAGTCAAATTTGGCACCTTCACTATAATTTATAAGACATCCTCCAAACTTCCGTTTCTCCACATAACGCCGTTGAAAGTTCAAATCATTACGTCACATCACAAGAAGCAGACGCCTACTCCGTTAGTAATCTTCCGTCTAATTTTAGAGTACGCAACCCCCACTCCATATTGGTTTTATGCTGCATCCCTTCAAATTTTTTACTACTAAATATTGCTTCACTCAATTACCCTTTCAATTTATTTTGTTAAAAAATCTTTCAATATTGTCAAATCCAAAATAATTCTCTTCAAGTATTATTATAACTTGTAAAATATTTCAAATTTCGTACATTAGATTTTTTTTCCCTCACTAAATAAAAATATTAGAGCAGAGAAAAAAATGAGCTCGATGATATATTCTTCCATTTATGTGTTCTTTTTGGAATAGAAATAAGGAGTGATAGGGGCGAAGTCAGGATTTTATCAATGGTGGAGCCGAATAAGCATTAAAAAAATACGTAAATAAATTAATGAAAAGAATGATTGTTCCAACATTGGCGAATCTAGGATGTTGTTACACGATGAACTTAATTTTTTGGATTTCAGGAACAACGCTCCTGAAAAAAATTCAGATATATTGTTTTTCGACAAAATCTGAATACGAAAAGAAAAACTTAGGACCATACACGTTTTTTTTTTTTGTCCTTTGTTTTGTATTTTAATAATAAAATTATAAATTTTATAATATATTATTAATATGTTAATTTGAAATCGAATTTTAATGCATTATTAAACAATATTAATATAATTTTTTTAATATTTTTTTTATTGAATGGATATTCGAATATTCAAGAATATTGAAAAAAAAAACTATATTCCTTTATTTTAATATTTGAATATTAAAAAAATCTTTTTTTTTCTGAAAATTATTTGAATATTCCTAAAAAAAAATGAGTGTACTGATTTTTTTTAAAAAGACTACCATTAAATATATTTTGAATACTGGAAATGTAACTAAGATTTTTTTTATTTCGAATTTATAAAATATTAATTTTGGAAATAATATATATACACGTGGTAATTATTTAAATGAGTGTATAAATGTTAAATAGGAAATAACTTAATTACATACCAAAATAAAATTGACAACTCACCAATTGAAGAATCCACCTCATCAATTGAACTCCAACTAAGCAATTTTGATAAATGACATCATCATTTGCCACATGAGGGCATAGATCATTTTTTTATATTATATATAGATGCCATATAGAGTGAAATTAAGGACACATCACTAATTAAAATATTTATAGACATCCGACTCCAATAAAAAAAATCATAAAAAATATGAAATCAGAATTTCAGAAATTGGAATAAGATGAAGGGTTACAAATTCGGATATTTTTTTGGAAATTGACGGAAATAAAAAATTGCTTTTAGATTTCCGCCTCTACATGCAATCTATCAAAAAGCCAATCAAAGCCCATTAACAAATTTCAATTTGGTAAAAGATCTGCCACAGCCCAACCCAGCCTAAAAAACAACTCTCAAAAATCGACTAGGGCTTCTCAGATTACAATTTACAACTCTGTGTTCGATAAAGTTTTTTCCGAAATTGCACGGCAGAGATTCAGAAATCGAGAAATATCCGCCGGAGATGAAGGTGAAGTCCAAATGTCCGCCGGAGCAGAAGAAGAACGTCAAGTATACGGAGACGAAGAAGCGGATCAATAAGATTCGCAGACAACTCGAAAAATTGGAGGATATATTTAAAGAGAACAAGCGGATCAATAAGATATGCAAACAAATCAATAAATTGGAAGAAAAGGATTTTTGCGAGACTTATGTACGTTCCTTTTTTTTTTTTTTTTCTTTTTTAATTAATTTCTTCTAATTTCATTTATTTTTATAATTTTTTTTTTATTACAGACTCTCATCTATGACCGGGATTCTACCGCCAAAGAAAATCCCACTAATCCCAAGATAATGCGAGATCTTGATGAAGCTGCTAGAATAGCAATCGGTTACTTCAGCAAAACATGTGTATGTGGTTTTATTCTTTCCTTTATTTTTTAAAAATAATTTAGATATTCTTTTTTAGTATTTAATCACTTGTTGTCTCTTTTGTTGTGTGTGCACGTATTTAGTCCATCAGATACTATGTGGCGGATGTGATCAGAGCAACCAAATATATGTGCTCCGGTCGTGTATTGTGTTTGACGTTCACCGCCAAGCCCCAGGGTTCCGAAAAAGTCCAAACTTTCAAAACGGAGATTTACTACGAAACCGGTCAAACTGAAGTGAAATATGTTCAAGTTGTTGCTACCTAGCTGTGATATAGGTAAAAAAAAGAAAAAATCTGAAATTCAATATTTCAATCCATCCAAATGCACCCTAAGTGAATTGTCTTTTTAACCTGCATTCGTATGTTAAGGTCTCATTTGCTGGCGGATAGTTGAAGATAATTGTGTGAGCTGGTACACTATGCTCTTCTTAGCCTTGATGTAGGCATTCATTCATAAGAATTCGTTGCACTTATATGTGCTGTATTTTAACTATTCGGACTCAAAATTTCTCTTATGTGTCTCTTTAATGATGAATCCACACAAAATCACCGATTCATGATTTGGGATTTATTGAAAGAGATTTGTTAGTCATCCCCCTCTCCACCTCACATTACATTCACATCCCGACATTACATTCATATATAAATAATTATGAGCATATAATAGTTATAAACTGCACGTTGAGGACATGATGGGCATTTTTTTTATTAGCTGGTTCTGTTGTATTAAAAGTGGTGTTTATAACTTAACATTCGCTCAAATCAAGATCAACGACTGCAATCAAAGTAGCATCAAATAACTTTGTAGTGATCCATATAGATATGGAAATCTGAAACAACTTACTGAACGTAGTTACTCTTTAGTAGTTGGGCTTGTCTACATGGTGTAGGTCCTATATGTTCAAATTAATGTAGGAGAAATTCACTAATGTGTCGCTCTTTACCTCTGTCTTCCAAAGTTGCAATATACTTCAATCAATTGCTATGCAGTGTTCGAAGTAATTTGCACTTTCTTTTAATTTGTACCTGCTGGAAATTTTAACAGCTTTTTTTTTTTTTTCATTTGCAGGGGTTTGTTGGTTGGTTGAAAACAGGTTGAATATAGTAAGTGGTGTTGCTTTTCATGTAATCAGAGTTGTGAACTACATTTGTCTCTTTACGCATTTGTGTTCTGAACTATATTTATCTTTATGTATTAGGGCTGTGTGCATCTAGAATTTCTTTTTATTTGACAATATTTTGATGGCAATGCCTAGAACAATGATGTCAAGCTTATTTATGCCGACGATTTGCTTCTATTAATAGTCTTCCCTTTCACATTGTTTCGTTAAGTGGACGATTTGCTTCTATTAATAGTCTTCCCTTTCACATTGTTTCGTTAAGTGTTCCGAATTACGTGTGTGAATCCTATAAATATATGTCAAAGCAATTTATTATTGTTATTGCTCTGCTACTTCTCTCTATAGCAATAATCATCAATTGTTGATTAGTTTGTTAAATATTAATTAGGGTAAATAGCACTTAACCCCATATGGTTTGCCTATTTGGCACATAAGCCCCTTGTGGTTCTATAATAAGCATATCACCCCATTGTGGTTATGACTTATGAGTGTGTAGCGATCGTCCACTTTTCTATCAAACATAACGGTGACTTTTTTCACTTGCTTGTTTGTCATGTGGTGAACTTAGATGGTGTTTGGCTAAGCTTATAAGATGTTAAAATGAGCTTATAAGCTCTTCCAAAGTGTTTGGTAATTTTTTTAAAAAAAGATCTTACTTTCTTTAAAATAAGTTGTTGGAGAGCAAATAAGATTTTTTTTAAAAAGTATCTCTACCTCACATTTTTATTTAAGATCTTATAATGAGTACAAAAAGGAAATAAACAAGAAATAAACTTATTATCCAAATACTCTAAAAATCAATCGTAAAAATAAGATGTAACAACTTATCAGCTCTTAAAATATTTTATCAGACGTAACAACTTATGAGCTGTTTAAAATAAGCTTAGCCAAACACCCTCTTATTTCATAATAATTCTTTTTACCAATACCAATAACACCCTTATTCGATTGAAATATCCTAGTTGCCTTTTTCCCCTTTCAAGAGTTGTTTTTTTCTTTTTTTCTTTTTTCTCTCTCTGCACTTTGTCTCTTCCAATCGTCTGCACTTCGTTTCTACAACTTGGTGAATATAATTCAATTTGGGTAGAAGATGCCCTTACTGTCACGCTCGGTCCTCATTAAGGGTTGAAATCGAACGGATCAGATCGGAAATGGGGCTTTTCGGAAAATTACCAAGTTTTTTGGAGGTGTTTTACGCGTTCTGATTCTGATTCCGATGTTTTCGGAATATTTGGAATTTCGGAATTTTTCGAAATTCTTTCATAAAGTCATAATATCTACTGTATATATCAAAAATCCTTGGCAAAAACAATCAAATAAACTGATAATACCATAATCCATATGCTAAAAAGGCTGAAGAAAAGAGGATAGAAAAATGATAAAAAATTTACCTAATATTAAGATCGATAAATAAAATACGAGATGGACACAAACAACGGCTTTACAAGGAGGAGGAGTAGAGGAGGAGGAAGAAGTGGAAGAGGCAGAGGAAGATGAATGAGGAGGAGGAGTAAATTTGCTTTGCTAAAGTAGAGTTTATATGAAAGACTTGCGCAAGACCGAAGTAGTGATTGGGAAATAAGATGCATAATATAATAATATTTAATAGTTCATAAATAGTAATAATTTCCGGAAAAAATCGAATTATTCGGACATTTCGGATTGGAATTCAGAAATTCTAAATATTTTATATGCAATTATGATTTCGATCTGATGTTTTCGGAAAATTTGGAAATCGAAATTTTGGAAATCGTACCACAAAAAATCCTTCCAAAATAGGAAATATAGTGTTTTGGCACTTTGCACCATTGGAAAAACTAATAACACTTTGCAGCCTCGAAAAATAAATCATTCACAGTGCACCCTTAATTGAATATTTAAACCATAATGAAGATAATTTCATCGTTTATTGGTTTTTTATTTCTAGGGTGCAAATTAACAAATTTAATTGTTATTTTGTTTTACCTCCAACATAACTTCGGCGTACAAAATGCGCGAAAAAATTCACAACGAAAAATAAGTTTAAGGTTCCTGTGAGATATGTTTAAAGTTCATGTGATATTGGTAATTACAGCCACACCACTGAAACAATTATCTGAGCACCGATAGGCATTATATTTGTTTCCTGAGGGGCCGTTAATGCAACCATAAATGAAATTTTATAAATCTTATATAAAATGATAAGGATTTAAGAAATGTTATAAGAGTCATGTCACTCCCTAACTCTATATTGTTTTTACCACTACCTGAAACTAATAGTCTGTTTGAACCCTAATCGAATAACTTATCCAATGCATTATTCCGTTAGGGTTTCTAACAATGGTTCATGGGTGATTGTAATTACCGATTCCGAAGGAACCTTAAAATTATTTTAGCATACCTTAGAAGTATAACTGTAATTTACCCAGTTTATTACTCTTATGGATTTTAAATCTAAAACAAATTTAGATTTTTATTATTATTATTTTCTCTATCATTTTCAAATTTTCAGAATTCGCAAAGATCAAATTAGATAAAATTCATTTCCATCCTGGGTTTGAAGGGCAATGTGGGCATAATGTAAAATATGTTTTATTTTGACAAGAAAATTATGTTTGAAGGATGACATTGAACAAACTAAGAAACATAAGGAATAATTTGATTTTGACTACAAACGTTAGGGATGAAAATGAATTTTACCTAGTTGTTTGCCTATAATACAATAAATTCTCCCATGATCATGAATATTCTTGTTCACAATCAAGTTTCATGTGACATTTTTCACGGACCAGTACCAGGGTAGAAATTTGAACAGCATTTTTTCAATTCGCCGGTTCAATAATAATAATAATAATAATAATAATAATAATAATAATAATAATAATAATAATAATAATAATAATAATAATAATAATAATAATAATAATAATAATAATAATAATAATAATAATAATAATAATAATAATAATAATAATAATAATAATAATAATAATAATAATAATAATAATAATAATAATAATAATAATAATAATAATAATAATAATAATAATAATAATAATAATAATAATAATAATAATAATAATAATAATAATAATAATAATAATAATAATAATAATAATAATAATAATGATGATGATGATGATAATTCATAAAAATCAATAAAAAAATGTAAAAATTCACTCGTGTACATACGAAAATTTAGAAAGAAAATATTAAATACACTGAAAATTTAGAAGAAAAAAAGTTAAATATCTGAAGAGTGAGGAAAATTTAGGAAACCATCAATATTTGAAGATACTAGGACTCTTGAACCACAATAAAATTATCGACGAATAAGAGAGCAAGGCCAAAGTTTGGGGAGAGATCTGGGAAGTAGCACAGAGAAACCCACTTAACAAACAGACACTTTGCACCTTTTTACTCGCTGTTTTACAGCAAACCAAACAGAACCAAACCGAAGAAGAAAATCAAAGTGCAAATACTACAACTCCGGTTTTTTAGGCTTAGCAACATAAACTGTTGGGCTTCATTAAATAGAATTAAATTGAGTCATTTCACACCGAAAATTCAGATTTGCACACCGAATCAACAGTTCGAGTTGCACAACAAATATTTAGATTTGATCGAAATACAAATTCAACACTCACATAATAAACTATAACAAAGTTTTCAGATATCCAAAAACCAAACAAATTCTAACAATTCATGTTGACATAAGCATGGAGATCAAAGTTACCTTTTTGTGGTTGTTGATCGAGAGCTAGGTAGAGAGGAGCAAATTAGGGCTAGCTATTGACGGCGGAGAGCAGCGGCGGACGACGGAGAGATGGGCGGATGGCGGAGAGCAACGGCGGAGAGATGGGCTGACGGTGGAGAGATGGGCGGAGGAGCGCAGCGGCGGACGGGGGACGACGGAGAGCAGCGGCAGCGGCGGACGCCGGTGGCGGAGGCGGAGGGGGGGCGCCGGCGGAGGGGAAGAGAAGAAAGAAAGAGAGAGAAACGAGAAGAAAATTGGAGAAAATGGGGAAAATGGGATTAAGGCCTGCCGTCTAATTAAATTGTTTGCGACGATTCCTAACGAATTGTCGCAACGTCAGATTTAAACGAATCTCGTAGCGACGTTTTTAAACACTTTCGTTGCACACCAAAAAAAATTAAATAGACTTGCGACGTTTCTATAGGCAACGTTGCTATAGAAAAGCGAGATTTTTTCAATAATTATTTTAGCGATTATTACACTATAGTCGCAAATACTAATTATAATTTTTTTTAACAAAATATTTTACTTGCGACGAATAAACTCTTTTCGTCGCTACGAATAAATATTATTTAATATTTCCTCTTTATTACGCTACGTTTATCCAAATTCGTCGCCAACCCAATAAAATGTTTTTTTTCACAATTGCACTAGCGATATTCGTCGCTAAGGTAAATAATAAATTGCAAAAAATATTTTTCATGCGTCGCTTATATAAAAACGTCGCTACGAGAGTGCTTTATTATTATTATTTTCGTTTGCGACGTTTTAATGAGATTAGTCGCATAGTTGCGACGATTACTATTATCGTCGCGAGATATTCCATCGAAATCTTATTTTCCGATATCTTACGACGTTTTTTAGTCAAAATCGTCGCAAACTAGCGACGATTTTGGAATCGTCGCAAAAAAAAAACGTCGCAAGTGAGCTGTTTTGGCCTAGTGGTATCGCAATGTGAGATATTGGTTAGAAGACTATCGTCGTAGACGTGCTTTGACTAAAGAAGAAATTTTTTAACCATGCTAATGCTCAACTAAGGAATGTCATTGAACGAACTTATGGAGTTCTGAAAAATAGATTTCCGATTTTAGAAAAGATGGCCCCTTTTTTCATTAGATGTGCAAAGAAATATAGTGATTGCTTGTTTTGCGGTACATAATTTTATAAGAAAAGAGCGTATTAGGGATAAATTTTTTGAAGAGCTTGATCGACCCAATATGCCTTTTTGATGGTGCGAAAGAGAATGGACAAGACCATGAGAATGATGGTAAACCAACGAACCATGGTGGGAGTTCGAAGACATGTAGTATATGGATAATGGGCGCGATGAGATAGCAACTCGGATGATGCATTGAGTGACCAATTTGAATTTATTAAATATTTAACGTTGATTTTAGTGACTTTAATCTTTTAGGTCAATCTTAGCGACTTTAAAGTATTTCCACATTTTAACTATTTTTATTTGTGAATGTTATATTTATTAGTTGTTCGAATTTTACTTTTTATCTATGTTAAATATTTTAAATATTTTAAATTTTAAATTTTATTGATTATGTAGATCATGCTTAAAATTAGTGTGTATTTATATATGTTAATCAGAATCAGATAAAACAAATAAAATTAAAATTAAAATAATTACTCAACATTCAGACACAACTCTTAACCACTAAGACATGTATTTAGCTTAGCCAATGAGATAGCCACTCAATGAATGCTTAATCCTGTCAAACGGTCATCTCCCGCATGCGTTATGCAGTCCTACTTCATTTCTTAGTCAAAATTTAGATAATCTAATAAAACTTTATATATTAGTTAGAAAAGGTTTGAAAAATCAAAGTGGGATAGATATATCTTTTTTTTTATAAAATAGTCCAACAAATGTATTTTTATTTAAATTTCTTAAGGTTATAACAAATTATAAAGTACTTGTAGGTTCGATTATTTACAAATTAAACACTATTGATAATGTTTTTTTCTTTTTGTTTTTTTTAGAGTTGATTCTTAAATTTTGAATGTGTAATTGAAGAATTAAATTATTGTTTTTACATATTTAATATACTAAAATATATATATTAAGTTTTATAGATGCATAAACGAAAGAAAAACTGAATTTAATTAAAAAAAGAAAAAGAAAAAAAAGGTACGGAACAAGAGTAGAAAATTTGTAAGTACCACAATTACCAAATGAAGACTCTTTTTAATTCATGAGTCAGTCATGTCAAGAATTGCTGACTTTTTCCGCATGTGGATTTTTGATTGAAAATTGCCAGTGAAAATAGATTTATTATTTTATTTTAGTACTAATACTTGCCCAATTCATTCTGGTGGGCCAGCATATAACTTCTTTTTTCTTTTTCTTTTTCTTTTTCTTTTTCTTTTTCTTTTTTATTTGCCTTTTTCTTCCTTGTTCTCTCCGCCGCCTACAATTCATCTTGACTCCAACCCTCTGCCATTTGCTTCTTTTATGCTTATAACAATCACTGTATTATCCTTTTTTTTTTCCCTATAATTGTATGTATTTTTTTAGCTTTTTTTTTTCTGTTTAAATATGTGCTCCTAAAAATTCTCTAATTGTCGAGATCCATTCCATTCCAGGCATGTTAACAAATAACAAAGCAAATATTGTTACGGTAGGGTTGTGGCTTAATGATTTTATTCCTGTTGAATTGTGTGCAAGTCATCAGTCAGATCTCGTGTATATATATATATATATATATATATATATATATATATATATATTATTTTTTTGGTTTTCATTTCTTTTGTAATTACTTTGTTTGCGGTGGATGCAAATCTGATTAGTTTCTGATTTTCGTAATAGCCAGTGGATGGCAGGTTGGTTAGGCGGCGATTCATCTATTGTAGGAATTTTTAAGTAATTCAATATTTGCTCTGAGTTTTTTTTTTTTTTTTTTTTTTTATTAACCAAGTTAAATTGATTGTATATGAATGGATTTTAAGTTAAATTGATTGAATATATCGTTTTTCATTACAGAAGGAAGTGTCGAAAATCCAAATATTTTAAGTTGATTGAATTGTGCATATTGTAAGATATTATCATTGATTGCAGCCTATATAAACTACAATTGATGTTTTCATGCTTTTGTGAACATTGTTCTTACATTATGTGAACATTGTTTTCATGTTTGCACCATACTACCTCAATTCCATTCACACATATCGTTCCAGATGACGGACATTGTAGCGGGCCCCGGTGATCCACAAACACTTTATCCCGATGCAGGTTAATTAATATCTGACTAAAAAAAGCTCCCTTTTCTGTTGACACTCGATTTAAATTTGATTTGCCGAGTTCTTATTTTTCCCGATGTTGATTATATTGAATAACTCACTCGAAATGTGGATTCTTATTTTTTTTTTGCCTTAGACTGGTTAGAGAAGACATTTCTGCATAAATCCCGGAACCCCTTGTACAGGTTTTCTCTCTCCTCACTTTCTTCTCGTTTTCTCTCTCTCTTACTCGAACACATATACATATCGCGTATGCATATTAATCGGAAGAAAAGTTGTCGTTTTTTTTTTTTTTGCCTTTACTCCTACTTAATATGTATGGTTCTTTTATGTGTAATAACTTGTATAAGCACAGGATCTCGGATATCTACAAAAACCCTGGATGCTGGCTTGTCGTCGACAATACATACGAGTAAGAGAATATATATTTTATATACTTCATTTTTGTTTTTCATTTATTTGCAATGATGTTCACTTGTAGCTCACTAGCTTGATAACTAACTTATTGATGTTTTCTAAAGTTTAGCAATTTATTGGCTTCAATAGAGTCAACTCTGAGAAAAATTAGGATATATTGGAAGTAGGTTAACCTAAGCATATATGAAATTGTGAGTGCTTTTTTTTCTTACGATTCAATATTGATCAAATTTGAAAAGTTAAGTTTGTATGTCTGTTTTTGCTTTTATGCGTGTGTAGGATCTCCTTAGGTCATAAACTGACTCCTTGGCTTTCGCCTTACTGTCATTTACAAAGATATACTCATTCTCATATTTGTAAGCATTTTCATTTAAGATGAGATCTGAAGCAAATATGTATAAGATGAGGTCCGAAGAGCAGCCAGATGAATGAACAACGGTGGATTGAAAATGATCCAACTGGCCGTTATTGTCGAGTAAGGTATAATATAGTCAATTTTAACCAAATTTTGCCTAGTTAGTAATCCAATTATGTTTGCTTATCTTGAGGTTTCTGTTATTAGCCAAGTTAAATTGATTAAATATGAATGGGTTCGAAACAGTTTGAGGAGGTTTCGGGGAAAGGAGCATCGGAAACTTTGTACAAGGGGCTGGACGAATTGCTCGGGATAAAAGTGGCATGTAATCAAGTGAGGCTCGTTGATTTGCTTCGATCACCAGACGAATTACAAAGGGTCTACTCCGAAGTTTACCTTCTCCTTCTCAGCATCTTCCGATTCTACACTTATTGCAAAGGATCAAAACTGAACATTCAATTTTTTTATAACAGAGATGTTCACTTCCGAGAGTAACTTTCTCTCACCTCCACTAGTAGTTTCATTGATAATTAACTTATTGTAGTTCTCTAAAGTTTTAGCAATTCATTGGCTTCATTACAAGTTAACTTTGAGAAAATTAAACATCAACCAAGTCTCCCTAAATTCTACTATTGGAAGTAGGTATGCCTAAGCATGTATGAGATATGTGTGTTAGATAATCTATTGCTTTATCAAATTTGAAAAGTCAATGTTATATATGTCGGCTTAAAACCGAGTGTTCACACGTTCTTGAACCAGAAAAAGCTCAAGTGGACTCTTAATTTTGGAATAATAATCTTTGTAAGAAAATCGACCATCTCCTTAAATTGTGCATGATATATTTCTTGTAGATCATATATCGATGTTGTTAGATGGAGAAAAATTGGATGAGTGGATTGATATACTTTCATGGAACTGATCTGAAACATTTATGCTATTGGATTTGATTTAATGCAGATACAAAGTGAATACTCGAGCTATAAAGATATGGGCCCGGCCCGCCAAATACTCGAAGGCCTTGTATATTTGCATGGCCATGATCTCTCAAGTGTGATAACATCTCGGAAAAGTAAAACATGGCGATCTTGGCCTGGCATCAATTCTACGAGGCTCATGTAGAGCACACATCTTTATAGGTATCATTTGTTTAATCTCAATATCTACTTATGATTAATTATATATAGTCTATAGGTTTTGCTTATATTAGTAAATAGCAACTATATTGGTATTCCGGTTTTAAAAAAAATAGCTTGATATTGGAAGAATGAATATATTAGTTCCAATACATTTTCACAAGATAATAATTTCTAAATTATTAAGAAAAAAGAAAAAACCCGGGTTGAATCGGTCGAACCTTGACCACTTATTCCTGTCCGTGTTGGTGTCCGGTCGGTCCGGTTATTAAAAACATTGCTAATAGACAGACAGTGTTTTGAAAACCTGACCGGAGGTAGAACCGGGAACTAACTTGGTCGGTCATGGTTCAACAAGAGGTGTGAGGGTTCTTTTGTTTATTTAAATTTATTTTAGGGCAAATTACGACCACAAAACCCCTCTCTTGTTTGGGTAAATTACAGCCACCCCACCCCCTCAACTATGTATTGTCTCCAGGGGTAAAATTAGGGAATTTTGGTACGCAGACACGATTTGGTTTGGTAAATAACCGAGTTACATAGATTTTATTGAAAATATTTAAAAGGAAATTACCCATACAAAAATAAAGTATAAATTTAAGAATTTATCTAAAATTGTAAATATTGCAATAAAATAAAAATAAAAAATGTGGGTTATGTACTAGCTAGCATGCCTTGATAATAAAAGTGAAGTGGGTTTGGTAAAAAAACCCTAGTATACCATCTGGCCGCTCATTTCAATCTCCAGATTTTTTCACTCACCATCAGTAAAACGTTAACCCTAGTGAAAACAACAGAGAAATAGTGAAAATTTGTGTTGTGTTCATGCCAATTTACACGCCCATTCCCAAAGTATAGGAATCTGAAATGTTGGATTCATTCTCTCCCAGATCTCCCTGAATCAAGAGCTTTACTGGAAGGTAGGTAAATCAAGGCAAACTGTAATTTTTCTTCAATACCTTTGATCTAACTGAAGCTTGTTACTTTTTAGGAGCATACAAATCGATTGGGGATTTATACTTGGGAAAGGGTTCTGTTGCAACTTTTAAGGTAAATCTCAGCTTAACCTTCAAACCCAACTTCTTCTCTTGTCTATTTTAGAGTTTTGGGCTGAATGAAATAATTTTTTTAGATAAATCTGTAGATTACTCTCTTACCTGTTGAATCATGAATATTTTAGTTTCTAGATAAGACTTAAGGGCATAATTAAGGCTTATATGATAACATAATTACTTTAATAGATCGTTTTGATGTTTTTTTTTTTTTTTTAATTTTTTTAACTTGTTTGAATTTGAAACGCTGCCTTTCTTATTATGCAATTGACAAGTAATTTCAAATGATCAGAGAAGAGTATATTTCGGGCGTTAGTAGACCTTACCTGACCTGAAATTTCGGATAAGTTTGATCAATGGATATGGAAATATAATCAAAAAATATTCTAGGACAACTAATTGTATCAAACTATTTGCTTATCAAAAAAAAAAAATAAAAAATAAAATTGTATCATCAAACTATTTGAATAATGATAAATTTCTATATAAATAGTAGATTTTTAAGGGCCATGACAATTGACGCCCCTATTGATAAATAACGATTAAGAAACTTCCATTCACAGTTATTGACAAGTTTCTAATTTTTTTCTTCAATACCTTCGATCTAACTGACGCTTATAATTTTTCAGTTATTTTTAGGTGCAAACAAATCGATTGGAAAGTTGGGAAGGGTTTTGTTGCAACTTAAGGTTCCCAAAGGATCGAAGTCCCCTTTCCTAATCTGAAATGTCGGATTCATTCTCTCTTAGATCTACTTGAATCAAGAGCTTACTGGAAGGTAAAATCAGGGCTGGTAATATGATTCAAACTATATTTTTTCTTCAATACCTTTGATCTAACTGAAGCTTGTCATTTTTCAGTTATTTTTTAGGATCTAACAAATCGATTGGGAAGTTGGAAAGATACAAATACTTGGGAAAGGGTTCTGTTGCAACTTAAGGTAAACCTCAGCTTACCCCTCAAAAGCCCCGACTTCTTCTGAAAATAATTGAAAGATCCAAACTTTTCGAAAGGGCCAGGCTGAATGAAATTGTTGCAACGGCTCAAAAACCCTAAATGTCCTCTTGGTTGGAAATAAATTTTTTGTTTACGATAGATAAAGCTCTAGATAAATCATGAATATTTAGTTTCTAGATAAAATATAAGGGCATATATGCCTTATAACCTTCAATGACACTATAAGGTTATATAAAACTAACTAATTGTTCTGGTTACTGCACTTGATTAAATATTTAACTCTTCTTTGTTTATTAGATGTAGAAGACTTAACTATATTGCACCTTAAATAAAGTTGTGTTATAATTCTGCATGGTTCTTTTCTCTTATTGTCTATTTTGGAATATTATTCAAGGATTCAAACTTTTGGGAAGGGCCAGGGGAACAAAATTGTTGCAATGGCTTAAAAACCTTATCAATTGTCTTATTGAGAAATATTTTCTTTTTTGTTTATGATAGATGAATCAGTAGATTAATTGCTGTGTTGGATCCATGAATATGTAGTTTTTTTTTTTTTTTTCAGATTTATAGGGTATAATTCTCGTCCCTAATTAACTATAGCGACAAAATGAGTTGGCGTTATGAAAGGAATCGTCCGGAGCTTGGCGAGATCGTGATGATAGAGGTGAAGAGGCGGACCACTGAATTGGTATACGTGACGTTGTTGGACTATCAAAATGCACTAGGCAGCATCATGCTTTCCAAGCTGTCTACCAACCGTCCCAATCCCAATGTCGCTAGAGTGATCAACACAAGCCACAGTACAATTTATCTGACCGGGAAAAAAATTCCCAAAAACGAAATTTACGAGTGCTGGGAGAAACATAGAGACAATCGCTTAGTTCACTCAGTATTGGAAGAAGTTGCCAAGAAAATGGAAGATATTGATCTCGGGGTATGTCTTTTTTTTTTTTTTTTTTTTTTTTTTTTAATTTATTTTAAGTGCTTGAATGTTTTTTTTTTTCCTTTATTCCATTTCAAATGCATTTGTTTATATGGCAGGTGCTATATACTTCGATAGGTTGGCCACTACACCAAAATTATGGCCGGGCGATTTCCGCATTCAGAATGATCACCAATGATCCAAGACTAATGACTGATACTGAGAGTGATGATACTGAGAGTGATGATACTGAGAGTGATTATCCAGATGTGTATCTATTCCTTCGTACGTGTTCCAGGATATATAATATTGGTTATGATGTCATAAATGCCTTTATCGAGGTACGTAAATCCTATTTTTTCTTGATTTGAGGTTCCTAGTCCTAATATTTGCTTGACTGAGTTAAAATACTTATCTTTTGACTATGTTTTTATATCATGCAGGAAGTATTGCGTAAATCTGAAGAAAATTTTGAAGCTAGTAGGGTTGACATGGAGACTGCCTTCGGTATTCCTTATAAGGTAACCACTTAACCACTAAGCTGATAGAAATAGAAAGCACCTCTAATTATAAATGAATTTTAGTCATTTAGGTAGTGATCGGAAATAAATCCAAATTCTCACTCCAAATTCTCACATACTATCACACCCAAGAACACATTATTTCTTCATTTTCAGTCATATCCTATTCATCAAACATTTGTTGGATAATTGAGCAATTGTATCAACAAAATCTGCAACCAGTAGTCTTTACAAATATAATTGCTCAATTTGAAAAAAAAAATGCTTCTACCTATAAAACAGCCAGTATCATTGGTCATTGAAATCCTTACTAGAATACTTAATAAGTATCTTAACCAAAGAAAAAGAGCAATGGATAAATACATTCTTATAAGAATGTTTGTTAACATAATACAGGCGCCACCAGCAAGTATTTATTGGCGGGAGAAATATGGTGGAGTCGTCGTTGATGACCAAAAAGATTGTGGTAAAAAAAATTAATTACCCATTCCTTAATTTTCTCACAACCAATGTTTTGGTTGATTATTAATTGTTCAATTGATTTATAGAGTCTTGTTCGATGGCATCTGTGTGTGCATTGGTAAGCTACCAATTGTATTTAGATCGTGGTGATTATTCTTCCGCGTCAGTGCAACACTTGATCGACCACGTCGGTCAAGTTTATCCTTTGCTTGTTGGAAACGATAACGAAGTGGGATGTCAAGACTGCAACGAGAGAGTCCCGCTGGCGTACATTGAGAGATTCGGTGTATGCCTGCGTGAGGACTATCCGTTCCAGAATAGAAGATTGATGTTTGATGAGATTCCACAGATACGCAATGTAAGAATAATAATATTTTGCTTAATATTTCTAATAAGGTATTCATATTTGCTAATGTTTATTTGTTTTACTGGAAAGTACCCCAAAATACAAATATCTGGCTGGGGACTTGTGCCTAAAGGAACATCCTTCAAAGACATCATGCGACTCCTAGCTCAAGGTCCGATTATCGGAACTATGGTAGTCTATAGGAGCTTTGACGAGCTCAAGCCAAAGGTAAAATTGAATAATATTATTTTCATATAATAAGTATACTTAATGAATAACCTATCGTATTTCATGTTTTAGGTTTATTATGAAGGTTGTGTCCCTTCAGATTTTGATGATGATGCACCTGTACCTACTATTCACTCTATACTTCTAGTCGGTGGGGGCGACGACGAAGAGATAGGCGAGCACTTTGAAGTGCACAATTCATGGGGGGATGAATGGGCTTACAAAGGAGGTGCCAAAGTTGCAGCACATCTCATCACTCCATATTATTTTGTAATTGGAGCACGATTAGTTCAGGTAATGGTATATAATTTATTTGCTTTAGTAGTCTTGTTTTGATCAATTTTTGTTTTGTCTTGCAGCCGGAGCACCAAACTCTTGAGATGAGAGCTGGCGTACCTGTTGTGGTAGGTTGAGGAGGCGGGTGCAAAAGAGAACACAAATGGATCAGGTAATTTGTTACTTCTATCAATGTCAATGCAGCATGCTTGTAAACCTTTACATGTATTTTATGTTGGGTAATTGGCATTTTGCACCCTCAAATTGCTTTTCATTGGCACTATGCACCGTTAAATTACAAAAATGGTAGAATGCACCCTTATATATATATATATATATGTGGTTCTATTTTGGATTCTTTTGCACCCATTAAAGAAAATTGTCTAGCATTGATGTGAAAACTATTTAATATAGATAGCTAACAATTTCCATTATCATGTTTGTGCAGTTCTTCTACTTTGACTCAGTAAAGTCGTGACTTCCTGGCGAGCCATTAGTTCTTAGTGATTTCAGTGTTTGGCTCGAAGCTTCAATAAATCCTCTTATTCACATAGAAGCTTTGCAGAATCGAGTGGTGAAACTGATATCCTGTTTCTAATTTTATTTCATTTCTGTTTTGGAATTTGTTAAAAAAGTAAATCCATCCCTGATTTCGAATTTGGTGGTTTCGTGTATTAAAATGTGGATACTTTCGTGTGTATTAGACATAAAGGATGCTTAATGAAAAAATAGTTCCACAAACTATTATGAGAAATGCAAAATTATAGATTAGCCTATAACAATTGAAGCTAAAGAAGAAATAAGAGAATGACGTGTAAGGATGAAAATGATAGAAACGATGTTTAGAGGATTTGGTGGAGAGAAAGATAGAGAATGACAAACCTGCCCTCTTTTTCAAGTGATTTGAACTAAGAAGGGAACCAGGGTGTAAAGAACATAATGTTATTTCTTGGGGAGAAAGAAAAACTAGTAATTGATAAATGCAACAAATTTCAGTTACCTCAACAACAGTTGATGCTCCAATGTGGCACTACAGCATAATAATCACTCGGAACTGAAAATTTGCTATTTAATATTAGGGACTATGAGTAAGAACCCCCTCAAACTTTTTTTTAATAAGCATGGGTCTAATCACTTTTTCCTTATTAGTTATAGACCCACTATTTTCTTTATTCCAAATCTAGCCTTTCCCATTATTAACTACCCATTATTCACTATCTCATGCATTTTTTTAATATAATTTTCGTTGTTTACTTATTTAATTCAAAGAATAATATTAATAATTATTTATTTATTTTTATCTTTTTCCAGTTTTTTTTCTTGGAATTTTTTTCTCTTTATAAATCAACTATAAAATTCCCTAAAACAACTATAAAAATCCCGAAATCAACTATAAAATATCCGGAGTCAATTTTAATTTATTTTTGTTTTCATCATAAATCAACTATAAAATTCCAGAAAATAACTATTTTATTCAAAATCAACTATAAAATCTGCGAAATCAACTATAATATCCTTTTGTTTTCATCATAAATCAACTATAAAATTCCAGAAAACAACTATTTTATTCAAAATCAACTATAAAATCTGTGAAATCAACTATAATATCCTTTTGTTTTCTTCTAAATTAACTATAAAAATATCGTAAACAACTATAAAATATGATGTTCAACAGTAGATTTACCAAAATAAATTACCAAATTTAATTAAGAAATTATCGAAATGAATTACAAATCATCGAAATCAACTACAAAAAAACACCATAACTATCACAAACACAACTTTATTTTTACGTATTTCTTCCACAGGTCCACCTTCAACAAGAATCAAAAGAATGGGAGCAATTGTCGACAAAAGTTCACTACCTACAAATTTAAAACACCGACAAATGTCACAAATCAACTACAAAAAGTAATAAAAAAAAATAAAATTTTCTAGTAAATATTATGTAAGGGTGGCCCACTCTATGCTATTACACATTTACACTTTCTTGGCTATGATGAGATAAACCAATATGAGTAAAACGATTGTTTCGTTTGGTTGGAGGTTAAAATACAAATCACTTGAGCTATTACTTTAACCTCAACAAATAAATAAATAAATAATATTTGATCATTTTTTTTCTACCCAATCATAGCTAAGAGTGTGTGTGTGTCTCTCTCTCTCTCTCTCTCTCTCTCTATATATATATATATATATATATATATATATATATATATATATGGTTTTTTTTTTTTTTTTTTTTTATGGGTGACGACCCCCGTCATCTACAACTCGTAATCCGAATATGTCATTAATAAGCATCCGGCTGAAATTGACATAATTGCCCCTCACTTAAACATCGGTGGGTGGATCCTGGCTCTCACACAATGTGTATAAATTGGGGTAGAACTCCTCGACAAACCCAATCATTGTCGGACGAGGAGTTCTTGTAAACTGCTCTCTAATCGAGAACCCTTGGATGAAAGGACACGTGCATTGACGAATCCATGATTTTGGCTAGGGTGTTCGAAATTAAGTATAATAAAAAATAGGGTAAATTACAAACACCCCCAAGGTATGGTCAAAATACAAAAAACCCCCTCTTGTTTGGATAATTACATCTACCCCTCAACTATGATTTTTTCTTACACCTCCACCCTTATGGTGCCAAATTCAACATAATCATCTAGATTCCGTGAAATGTGCTCTAGTTTTGTACTCGTTTCAATGGGATAAAACGGGTACAAAAGTGATAATATTCCATATAATCTCGATGATTCCACTAAATTTGAGGAGTTGAGGGGTGGTTGTAATTATCCAAACAAGAGGGGTGTTTTTGTAATTTAACCATACCTCAGGGGTTGTTTGTAATTTACCCATAAAAAATATAACGGCGGACTCAAAGTTTATGGGGGTTCAGGGGCGACACACCCAATTTGTTTTTAATACTATACACATGAAGCAATAAAAATATATAAAAATTCCAAATTTAAAAAAATCATTGGCAAAATTTCGAGAAGAAAATATTTAGAGAGAAACTTGGTTAAAATATATTTTTTATTTTTTCTATTATTATTATTATTATTATTATTATTATTATTATTATTATTATTATTATTATTATTATTATTATTATTATTATTATTATTATTATTATTATTATTATTATTATTATTATTATAATATTTTATATTATTATGAATTATTTAAGTAATATAGATTTGTTTCTATTTAAATACTAGATATATTTATTATTATAGACTATTTACTATTTAGTTAATAATAATAATAAGAATAATATATATATATATATAGGGGTCTTTAGCAATAAACCCCTTGGATGAGTAATAAATGGTGATATGTCCAACCCTTAAATCTTTCTTTGTGATAAACCCCTATAAATATTAATTCCAATACTACCCTTCTGAAATTAGAAAATCTCCTACCCAAAAATAATCCATCCCAATAATACACGTCCCTTTCCTTAAATAATGCCAAAATAATAGTAATTTTTTTCCAACTCAATATTCAAATCCCTTGAAATTAGCCAACTAATTAAAAAAATAAAAAATCACCTTAATATACTCCATAAAATCAGCCAATAAATTAAAAAAAAAAAAGAAAAATTGCTTCTTCACATACAAAATCAAAACCCACGTGCAAGACGAAGTTTTTTTTTTAATTATTTTTTTTCATATTTTTTTAATATTTTCTTAAATTCGTTTAAACGAAAAACTGATTTTTTTTCCCGACAAGTTTACTACGCCGAATATGACTATAGTTGAATAAGATTATAGGCATATTTTCTTAATTTTTTTTAACGAAAAATTGATTTTTTTCCCCGACAAGTGTACTACGCCGAATATGACTATAGTTGAATAAGACTATAGTCTAATATGACTATATGTGACTATATCAACTGTAGTCATATTCTTTCTTTATATTGCATTTTTTAAAAATTTTAACTTCAAAATTCCAATTATATAGTGAGGTAAAGTGATGTTTATCAAATTATATAAAACAACTAAAATTCCCTATTGTTTAGGGAAACAATGCAATCAACATCCACACAAAAAGATCACAAAAAATCACAATTTGAATCTTGTTATTACAAGTCAACTTGAAACGATAATATAGAACATATTCGAATATGACTACAATGATATTCAACAGTAGTCATATTCGAAAAATACATAAATATGACTATAGTCATGTTGCTGCTACTGTACATATTTGAACTGTATTTTCAGATTTGGAAAAAAAGAAAAAAGAAGGAGAAATTGAAAAATACATAAATAAAAAAATTGATAAAAAATCATTATATACATATATATCGACTCCACTAACTCAAGTATGATGATAGGCTCCCTCTCTCTCTCTAATATTTAAACACACAGTCACAATGAAAAAACCTTAAATGCCAAAAGTAATCATGAGTTGCTGAGAAACTTCCAAGAACACGAAAACAGAAAGTAGCAAAAAAAATCGAATAGTCACATTCGAACCAGACTGTAGTCACGTTGATGTTGCTGCTTCAGATCTGGAGAGAAAAAAAAAAAGAAAAAAATTAAAAATAACGAAAGGAAGGTGGTGTGATATGTATGAGGCGACAACATGAGTTTTTTGGGAGGTTTGACACCGTAGCAAGTCTTGACGGCATTCGAACCAGACTGTAGCCAAAAAAAAATTGAATAGTCACATTCGAACCAGACTGTAGTCACGTTGATGTTGCTGCTTCAGATCTGGAGAGAAAAAAAAAAAGAAAAAAATCGAAAATATCGAAAGGAAGGTGGTGTGATGTGTAGGAGGCGACAACATGAGTTTTTTGGGAGGTTTGACACCGTAGCAAGTCTTGACGGCATTCGAACCAGACTGTAGCAAAAAAAACTCGAATAGTCACATTCGAACCAGACTGTAGTCACGTTGATGTTGCTGCTTCAGATCTGGAGAGAAAAAAAAAAGAAAAAAATAGAGGGGGCCCCCGTCGCGCACTAGTGCATTTCATTTAAATGATAATGCTAATAGTGATATAAAATTAAAAAAAAAAAAAAAAAAAAAAAAAAAAAGAAAAAAAAAAAAACAACAACAAAGGTTTGTCTGTCACCAGCAGAAGATCCACCATAGCTACTACTGCTGCAATTTTATTTCCCCTAATCATCACCATCATCAGACCAACAACAACAAAAATGCCGCCATTTATCCATCGGTAATCGGCCCTAATTTCACATAGCTCCTCCTCATAAATTCATCAAGGCCAACGGCGTTGGCGGTGGCATATCATATTCAAACACCCCACCCTACTCATCTAACTCACAACTTTCATCAACCATTTCTCTCATGTTGCAGCCGCTCACCACCAGGAACCAGCTCTGCCCTCTTACACAACCACGAAGCTCACCACCACCACCACATCTTCTTCAGATCCGCCGCCATCTTGACTGAAATTGGACCTAAAATTAGGTCAAAAATGTTCATTTAATTTCCCCCTTTCCCCGATTGAGGTTATATGTACACTAATTTCTCTCGATTTCTCTTCCGAATCGACTAGATCTTCTTCCAACGAATGGAGGATTAGATGAGATTCTCACAATTGAGGCTGCCCATGCCGCGGCGGAGGTGTGCGGTGCTCGGCCGTGAGACTGGGTGTGCGCAGGTGGGCGGTGGGTGGTGAGATTGGTGCGACGGCAGTGATATCCTTGAAATTGCAGAGGCGAGAAAGTATTTATGTCGGTGGTGGTTTGTTCGGAGTTTTCGGGCCATGGGTTCAAAATCCAGGCTGAGGCTGAGTTGCTGGGAACAAGATGATGTTTTACTTTTTCTTTTTCTTTTTTTAATTATTCTATTTAAGAAAATTCCATTTCAAAAAAAGAAAAATAAAATAAAATAAATAAATTAAAATTAACATTTATTCCATTTTAAAATGGAAAAGACGTCAATAGCCTTGGATTTGTCATGTGCAACGCACATGGGTTGAGAACCGGTCATTTTGACCTGAAAACAGGTAAAAAAGGGTAAAGTGGCACAACTAATTGAGTATAGGTGAACTCGTGCAAAAAAAAATTGTTCAGGTAGTGATCCGCAAAAACTCAAAAAGTTTAGGTGGTTTAATGCTATTTACCCTATATTATATATATAAATTAGTCGTTCGCGAGATGTCGAACAACTAATTTTGGGCTCGAGCTCGAGCTCGTCCGAAGCTCGAGCTCGAAAAACCTGAGCTCGAGTTCGAGCTTTTTTCGAGCCGGCTCGTCGAGTTAGCGAGCCGGCTCGGCTCGTTTACCACCCCTAGGTCCAATGTATAGTGAAAACGGAGTTCAATAAGGATTCGTTGATGTGGTTGAATTCTAATTGTGATATAACTGGACTCTACAGTTACTTAAAGGGTCATGGTCCCCAAAGAAACGCAATCACTTGACTCTTCTAAAATCAATCATGAGAGAAATTATTAAGCAATTGTGAATTCTTTGAAAGACGTGTCTCAATTTGGTGTAGATTCAAAATACGATTCCATAAAATAAGGTATACTTCTGTTTTTATGTTTCTATGTAATTCTAGTTGATTCAAGCACATGGTTGGTTCTTGGGAATCCGTGCGGAATGTCATATTCAATTAAAATTGTAAAATAACAATTTTAATAAAAAACAACAAACACTAAGAGATCGAGAGAAATAAATCTGAAAATATAAAGACGAAAATATAAAAATAAAATAAAATTTAAAAAATATTGAAATAAATCTGAAAATATAAAAAAAAGAATGAAATTGATATCAAAATATAGATCCCGACGAGGAGAACCCAACGGTGGGTAGCCCGTGAAATTCCGACTGGCGAAAAACAAATTACACCTCTGGTAAGACCACCGTCACGAAATACGCCGATTACAAAAAAATTGCAGAAACAGATCCAGCACTCCAAACTAAATGAAATACCCACCAAAAGAAAGAGCTCGACGAGAGGAATCCAACGATAGTTGAACCATCGAATTCCGACCACCGGAGAGAGAGTTATGACTCCGGGAAGCAAAATCGCCGGTTAGAGACCTTGGGGGGGCGAGATTTGGATCTGGGAATTGAGAGAGGAAGATAAAGACCGATATGGGTTGGGAGGGTTTAAAACTGATTTAAAAGGGTATTCTGGGTACTTCAGGGTGGCCTAGGGGGTATGTCAAATTATTATCCAAATGGAGTGAATTTGCACTAGGGTGTAAACAACATGGTAGTGAATTATATATATTTTCAAAATAAGGGGTCTCTAAAATAATCTCATTTAAAGAACCCGGAATAAGCCATAGATAACGAAGCGAAAATTCAAGTTGAATTTCACTTTATGACCAAACCAACCTTAAAGTGAACTTAAAACAATAATTTACCTATTAGTTTGGTTCCTCAAAACAATTGAAACTTTAAATACCCCCAGAATCTCTAAAAAAAAAACAAAAACATCAAATTTTTCTTCTTTAAAAATAGACCATTGCCCCAAATCCAGAAGATCTTATAACTTGAAGGACTGAATTGAAATATCTGAAAAAAGTATTTGATTTAAAACATAACTGAGATTCAAAAATGCTTAATAAGGGGTTTAAAATATATTTTTTGAATTTATCACAGTTTTGAGAGAAACTTTAAAGATGGTGACTAAAATACATTTTGTGGAAGTATTAGGGGGCCATGAATCAGATTTTCATTTATTATCAAATTGACCCAAGCCCAAAATCAAGAATTACAAAAATATGGGGTCAAGTTGTAGTTTCAAATTGTAATTACCAAAGAATCCGCAATTCCTTAATAATCTCTCTAGAATCCGCAATATTCCTTAATAATCTCTCTAACGATGGACTTTAGAAGAGATGGAATGGTTTTGACTTTTGAGTCAGCGCCATCAATAAATCACAATTAAACCATAATTGTCTCTATACATGAGGCCCATAATTACAGTTTAATACTGATAAGTCCAACCGAATAATCTTTATTAAATCACAATTAATTTGTACTTTCTTTTAGATAGCCATACACATTTACGTCACATATGTGAGCTTCAGTGCCGGCCCAAGCCCAAGGCGAGCAAGACCGTCGCCTTGGGCCTCCAAAAAATCGGAAATATTAGGGCCTCTTTCGTAAATTATCTATAAATAAATAGATGTACATTTGCCTTTGAAATTTTTCTTCGGCTCAGTTGGCAAAAGAATTCTTACTGGACCGTGGACGTCGTCGCGCATTGGAACCCTGGTTATTGCAATAATAGATGTTTTAGGAAGCGCTGACTTTTCCTTTTTTTTTTTTTTCCGTTATTTTCGGTACGGTATAATTGGTACGTGGTACTCTACAGTACACCATATTGTTGACGAACTCGAATAATAGAATAATTACGATAAATACTAAATAAATGCATAAATGCAACAAATTAAGCAAATGTAATTGACAATTAAACAATCTTAGGCAATATACATTATACAACCATATTAGAATATAATTTTAGTTTAGATAACTAATGCTTACCAAGAAATCTACATAAAATACATAGAAATTAATAATGAGTAAGAACGTTTCGTAGTTTAAGTAAAAAAAACAAAAAAATATGCTACTATGCGAAAGAAACAAAAGGCTCGGAAGTTAGGGGTAAAAAAAGGGAGAAGAAAATTGTTGAAAAAAATATTCCAACAATAAGAGATCGGTTGGACTTTGGAACTAAAGAAGTATGTGAACATAAACAACTTTAGCGAGAGACAAATGGTGAATTTGCATAAATATATGAAGGGAATAAAATGACCATATATATATATATATATATATATATATATATGGAATTATTTCGAAGACCCCTCATTTTGAAATTCTATAGGCATAACTACCATAAGGATTACACACTAGTGCAAACCCCTTCAATTTCGATAATAATTTGACATACCCCCATCAGCCACTCTGAAGGACCTAAATTGCCCTTTTAAAATTAGTTTTAAACCCTAGCCACTCACAGTCGTCTCTCTCTTCTTCTTTCAAATCACAGATTCAAATCCCGCCCCCATAGATCTCCAACCGGCGAAATTGCTTCCCGAAGTCATAACTCTCTGTCCGGTGGTCGGAATTCAATGGTTTAACTAATGTTGGATTCCTCTCGCCGAGCTCTTTCTTTTGGTGCTGATTTTATTCAGATTGGAGCACTCAATCTGTTTCTGCAGTTGTTTCGCAGTCCGTGCGTATTTCGACGACGGTGAGTCTTGCCGGAGGTGTAATTTGTGTTCCGGCAGTCGAAATGTGACGAGCTACCCACCGTTGGATTCCTATCGTCAAGATCTATATTTTAATAGTAAGTTTATTCATTATTTTATTGTCAGATTTAGTTCTATAATTCTTTTCATTTGTGAGCGCAGAACCTTGGGTGGTTAGCGACGGCTAGGATTTTGGTAAGAGGCGTTTCAGGTAAGGAGTCATTGGCGTGTTGGTCTAAAATTCGTAGCATTTCGTAGCTATATGTGTGTGTGTGTGTGTGTGTGATTTATCATATCTTATATCTTTATTCTTTGTTTTTGTTTTATTTATAATAATTATTGACTGTATTATTTTTATTGAACAGTATAAAAGAAAATATATATTAATTAATTTTTAAAATACAAAATTGCGGTAGGGTAGGGTATTACCATAGTATTGAAGATTTTCAATACCGCTACCGACCGTAAAATAATGGTACGGTACCAATACCGTACGAAGAAAGAAAAAGAAAAAGAAAAAACCTCTCGAAATATCGCACTTCCGGACAAGAACAAGAAATAAAGTGCAATTAAATTATAAATAATCTTATATATATAAAAGAAAGAAACGCTGGGCAACCCTAGAAAACCTTAATGACATTTTTGTAATTATTTATTTTTAATATTGTTTGACTAATTTTCTAATTATATTTTCAATCATTATCAAAATTGACACTGAACCGTGAATAATTGTCTCCTATTTTTCATCAATATATATAGGGTTAATAGCATTTTCCCACCTAGACTTTGCCCGTTTTTGCACTTTCCCACCTCAACTAAAAAAAGTTGCACGGCGGCACCCAAACATTCATTTTTTACGCACATAACCACCTGGAGGGAATATTCCGGCGAATATTCTCATTTTTCAACGCACGCGCGGTGCACATGCGAAAATACAAGGGTTTTTTCGTCTTTTTACTTGAAAATATTATAAGGGGTGAAATTGAAAGTACCAGGGATTCAATTGAACTTAATTTGAAACTTTCACAAGTTCCACCCATCATCTTCTTCAGCCCACCGCCGTCCGCCACCCGCCGCCTCTTATTCGCCGTCCGCCGCCTCTATCTCCATTAATATGAACGCGAAACTCCGATTTTAAGCAAGCAAAAACACACACTGAAGGTGTATCTCTGTGTGTATTCATCAATTTCTTCTTCGCTCTTCCATTCATCTCTTATCAGTGAAGAATCAACTAAAATCAATGGGCGAGGTTCTCTCTCTCTCTCTCTCCTAATTGTCTGTAATTTTGAGTTTTTTTTTTAGTTTTTTTGTTTGGTGATTTATTGCTCATTTTTTTTTATCTGATTTGTTTCCGGCAGGAAGCGAAGAAGCCGACGGAGGAAAAGAAACCGGAGGAAGCGAAAAAACCGGCGGAGGAAGAGAAGAAAGAGGCGGCGGCGGCGGCGGCGGCGGAGAAGCCAGCTGAAGATGGGAAGAAAGAGGAGAAGAAATCCGACGAGACTAAGGCGGCGGCGGCGCCGCCGCCGCCTCCTCCGCCGCAGGAAATCGTCCTTAGGGTTTTCATGCACTGCGAGGGCTGCGCTAGAAAAGTCCGCCGGTGCCTCAAAGGCTTCGAAGGTAAATAATAAAATTAAATTCCTCATTTTCAAAATTTAGTGGTGCATGTAAATTTGTTCATTTTCAATTTAATTAGAGGCGGCGGGTGGCGGACGGCGGTGGGCTGAAGAAGGACGGCGGTGGGCTGAAGAAGATGATGGGTGGAACTTGTGAAAGTTTCAAATTAAGTTCAATTGAGTCCCTGGTACTTTCAATTTCACCCCTTATAATATTTTCAAGTAAAAAGACGAAAAAACCCTTGTATTTTCGCATGTGCACCGCGCGTGCGTTGAAAAATGAGAATATTCGCCGGAATATTCCCTCCAGGTGGTTATGTGCGTAAAAAATGAATGTTTGGGTGCCGCCGTGCAACTTTTTTTAGTTGAGGTGGGAAAGTGCAAAAACGGGCAAAGTCTAGGTGGGAAAATGCTATTAACCCATATATATATATATATCAAATCTTAAGAAATAAAGATAAAATTCGATTTGTTAAATTGATCAATTTTTTTCATTTTTAAATTCGATTTGTTAAATTGATATAATAAAGCTGCCTGTATTCGATCAGTTTTTGCCATTAAATAACAATCATTCCTCGGCCTCGGCTGATTTTCATTCCCACCTGCCATATAGCCCAACCCACTCTCATAAACAGCCCATTACCTTTTGTTTTCATAATATCCAGCCCATTCCGTTGCTTTCTATATTTATTTATTTAATATACATATTTATAATCTTATTATTAACAAAAGGAAGAAATCTACTAGGGCTTCCTTCTCAGATGACTTTTCGTGGATCAACCGGCGGCGGCATTAAGGTTTCGATATTGCACGGCGGAGATTCGGTAATGGAGAAATATCCCGAGACGAAAAAACGGATCAATAAGATGCGCAAACAACTCGAGAAATTTGAGGTGGAGAATCCGGAACAGAGAAACCGGATCACTAAGATACGCAGGCATCTCGATAAACTGATAAATAAATTGGAAGAAGAGGACGAAGAAAAAGAAGAGGAGGTTTTAGACGAGATTTCTGTATGTTCCTTTTAATTTCATTTGATTTTCTTTTAATCTTTTTTTGTTATCTTGTTCTAATAAATTTTAAATAAATTTATAGAACTGCTATTGGAAACCCGATGTGCAACCTACCCCCATACGACGTCGTCTTTCCGATATGGTCCTCTATGACCGACGAGATTCCACTGCCAGCACTTATCCCAATAGAATGCGACTACTAAAAAATACTGCCAAACTAGCGATTGGTTACTTCAACAAACAAAGTGTATGTTTTTTTTTTGGATAACAAATAAATTCGATTTTCCTTTCGAATGATTATTAATGACATGTTGCTTGTTTTTGTTATGTGTGTATGAATGTGTGTAGCCCATCAGATACTCTGTGCTGGATTTGGTCAGAGCAACCCAACATGTTTGCGCGGGTCGTTATTTCCGTTTGACGTTTACCGCCAAGCCCGAGGGTTCTGAAGAAACCGAAACTTTCGAAGCAAAGGTTTGCTACCGAATCGGTCAAATTGATGTAGATTTTGTCAAAATTGTGGCCACTTAGCTGATACAGGTAATTATTTTATAGATTCAATCTTTTTATTGGCTTTGCTTGTCCATATACATAATACATGTATATATGAATGTATGATTTGCTGGCGGATAGTTGAAGATAATTGTGTGAGCTGGTACACTATGCTCTTCTTAGCCTTGATGTAGGCATTCATTCATTCATTCATAAAAATTCGTTGCACTTAATATGTGCTGTATTTTAAGTACTCGGACTCAAAATCACCGATTCATGATTTGGGATTTATTGAAAGAGATTTGTTAGTCATCCACCTCACATTACATTCACATCCCGACATTACATTCATATATAAATAATTATGAGCATATAATAGTTATATACTGCACGTTGAGGACATGATGGGTATTTTTTTTATTAGCTGGTTATGTTGTATTAAAAGGGGTGTTTATAACTGAACATTCGCTCAAATCAAGATCCAACGACTGCAATCAAAGTAGCATCAAATAACTTTGTAGTGACCCATATAGATATGGAAATCTGAAACAACTTACTGAACGTAGTTACTCTTTAGTAGTTGGGATTGTCTACATGGTGTAGCTCCTATATGTTCAAATTAATGTAGGAGAAATTCACTAATGTGTCGCTCTTTACCTCTGTCTTCCAAAGTTGCAATATACTTCAATCAATTGCTATGCAGTGTTCGAAGTAATTTGTACCTGCTGGAAATTTTAACAGCTTTTTTTTTTTTTTTTTTTCATTTGCAGGGGTTTGTTGGTTGGTTGAAAACAGGTTGAATATAGTAAGTGGTGTTGCTTTTCATGTAATCAGAGTTGTGAACTACATTTGTCTCTTTACGCATTTGTGTTCTGAACTATATTTATCTTTATGTATTAGGGCTGTGTGCATCTAGAATTTCTTTTTATTTGACAATATTTTGATGGCAATGCCTAGAACAATGATGTCAAGCTTATTTATGTCGATGATTTGCTTCTATTAATAGTCTTATGTCGATGATTTGCTTCTATTAATAGTCTTCCCTTTCATATTGTTTCGTTAAGTGTTCCGAATTACGCGTGTGCATCCTATAAATATTTGTCAAAGCAATTTATTATTCTTATTGATCTGCTACTTCTATCTATTGATAAAATGCATTAACACAAGCCCTCGTTAAAGAAATTTTGTATCTACTTGAAATTCAGGCTCCATTCTTTTGGAGGAGGAATTTAAAACCTATAATACTCCATCTGTCCTTTATTATTGGGTTTTAAGGGTACAAAGTGCTATTATTATTTTTCAAGGGTGCAAAGTGTTAAAAAGAATCCATTGCAAGGGTTCAAAGTGGGGTTAAGCTGTATAATATGTATCATAAAGCTATAGGAATTATTTGTCAAAATTCTCCATCACACAAGTGTAATTACAATGGGTTCAATTTTTACCAACTTTTTGAGATAAATCCATTTCAACATTTGTTAATAAAAAATAATAAATTATCACAATTATACCCCTAACTTAAAATAACATATGTTTTAGGATTGAAGATAAAAAAAAGATAAAAAAAAGATATGCAATATCTTTTCTTATTATATCATAACAACACCTCCTTAAATATTCCTACAATGCCCATCCCTTAATTATAGAGAACCGTTTCAAGGTAATTGGTATTTTCTCCACATTAATATTGATTTGAGTACTAGCCAAAATATTGTCGCCGGCGATTTAACGGAGCCGTCAACTGCGGCGTCCAACGACGACGTCGCGTTGCGAAAGTTGTTGCTACGGCGGGCTTGCTGCTGCGGCGTCCAACGGCGACGTCGCGTTGCGAAAGTTGTTGCTACGGCGGGCTTGCTGCTGCAACGCCGTCAGTTGCTTCATTCCTCCGTCAACAAACCCCCAATCATAAGCTGCTACAGATTGATTACCAAATGCAGTTTATAGAGAGAGAAAGTGATGAGAATGAAAGTGTGTTTGAAGAAATTGGGGGGTGAGTTTTGTTGAAGGTGGGGTTTAAATTAATGAGAAGATTTCTTCGATTTTATGATTCAATCGTTTAAACTCTCTTTCACCTTCCATTTCCAGTTCATCTTCTTCTTCTTTCATCATTTTTCTACAGTAATTGAATTAATTGCATATCTTTTTTCCTATTATATCGTAACAACACCTCCTTAAATAATTCCACGATTCTCGTTCCTTAATTATAGAGAACCGTTTCAAAGTAATTGGTATTTTTTTAACATTAATACCGATCTTAAAAAGCACGTGCCTCGCACGTGTTTAATTAATTATAATGTTAATTATATATGTGATTTAAAATAAAATTTTGTATTAAAACAAAAAAAAATGTGGATTATTTATTTTTAACAGTGTAACTTGAAAGAACATTTTATATTTATACAAGAAGTGTGGATTATTTAATTGCAATATTTAACTACAAAATTAATTTTATAATGTGTACTTAAAGCAACATGATTTCATAATTTTTTACTAGGGGAAATTGGCTAGACACCCCTTACTCTAGACTTATATTGGTAGAGATCCAATTTATTAGATGAATATATGTGTAGGTACTTGATCAATTAAATTAAATTAAATTATTAGTGTATAGACATTGATGCCCCCAATTAATATTTATATGTAAATAGTTATTTTAAAAATTGAGGGAACAAATCGCACAAATCTCTCACTCTCTCTCCATTCTACACACGGTCAAACATCTCCCCATCCCAACACACTTACACGCATCTCTCTCTCTCTCATCCCTTTTCTCTCACACACGTATTTCACTCTCTCTCTCTCTCAAGACAACTAAATTTAAAAATTAATTCTTTATTACTTTATAAAAATATTTAATTTTTTTACATAAATATTTTATAGCAGTCTTTCAATTATTAATTTTCTTAACATCATATGTGTTGGATTTTAATTGTTATTTTGTATGTTCTCAACAATATTGCATTTTTTTATTTGCATTTTCTAATTAGTTTTAATTGAACAAACAACAAAATAAAAAAATTTGAACAACATAATAAACTTGCAACATAAAATACAAAACTGCAAATTGCAACTTATAAGTGAAAATTAAATTGTAAGATTATTATCACACATCAACAATCTAAAAACAACCAATTAAAAATTGTAATGGTTTAAGTTTGCTGATCGGGTAATATATTTACAAGAAATTGAATATGCTTTATCAAACAGTAAAAATAACTTGAAACAATTAAATGATTGTGAATCATGAAACAATAATTTTTTTTGGCGCTCTATAGGACATTGTACTTGTTAGCAACATGAACAAAAATGGATCGTCGTTCTCTTTTTTCTGGGCAAATACGAGTTGACACGCTCTCACGAATATAATATTTATCACACACAAGGACTGTCCAGTTCCAAAGTATGACAGTGGGACATTCACATGAATGAAGCGGGAAAAGAAAGTAACGAAAATCGCTCATATTCTCACACCGTGAACTTTTTCTCCATTGACATTGATTCTGTGCACGTCCGTATGTCTTTAATATTGCTTTTCCTTTCTTCGATCTTGTTGAACAATGACTTGATCCTTTTTTTTGCAGTGGATGTTGAATATGAAACAAAATGTGATAATGGTTGTACGATACAAAACTACGAATGTAATAGTTGCTAACATTAACAACACTAATTTCAAACTACAAATACAAACAATGAAGGCAAAATGTACACGAAAAATGATAATGAATGAACTGCAAATTGTAAACTGTAAACTACCAAAGTTATTTAAAACGACAAAATATGTTTGCCATAAAAAATAAAAATTACAAATTTCAATTTGAAATAGAAAAAATAAATTATAACAATATTACAGGATGTACAACAAAAATCTAAAAAGTATTATATTAAATTATATTTGGTGCAAACAATAAATTAAACTTCAAAGAAAAAATAAATGTAAATCATTAAACAATTATTTTTTGACCACTCGCACTATCGAGGAACTTTTTCATGTCAGCGGCATAAACCGAAAATTGTCTTCTTTCTTTTTTACCAAGGCATGTGTGGGTTGAAACACTCTCACGATAGGATATAACGTACAATCTTAAACCTACAAAAAATAAATTGCAAACTTTAATCACGACTTACTAATTGCAAAGTTAAGGAAAGTAGCAAAAAAGAATTGTGATTGCAAACAACAAATAACATACGCAAGTTCAAACAAGATTTGCATAATATTCTGAAAAATGCAAATAGAAAACTGATTGCAAACATGTGTAAAACGAGAAAAACTAATCTAAAGTCCAATTTATGAGGATTAGAGTACAATGTAAACCTAATTGCTAGCAACAGAATTCGCAACTTAAGAACGTCAACATACAACAAGCATTACATTACATAATAGTTACAAAGTGAAAACTAAAATTGCAAATAAATATCTCTTGCAACAAACATGTTTCAAAGTGTAAAAAAAATGGCTTAATCAAAACTGCTTAAGTAAAATTTAAAAGAAATTAATAGCAATTATTAATTGGAGATGAAAACAATAGTTCATCTTACAAATGTACACATGAACTGCAAACAACTAATACGAACTCCAATTAAGACCAAACATGAACTGGAAACAGTCAATAACAACTTCAATTATAATAGAGAATCGCAAAGTGCAAACTGCAATTAAAAAAAATATATAACCAGACTACTAACTTCAACAAACCCCGCAATTTATAACTGATTTCTCGGGGATTCGAATTCATCATCCTCGTTCGCTGTCTCAAGAAGAAAAAAAACGGGTTTTTGAATGAGTATTGAAAAAATCGAACAATCATATGTATATGTAGTTAATAGGAGTATTGCTTACCGAGACTAAATTGTGTTGGAGCCATTGTAGAAATCACAAACAACAGATGAAGAAACAACAGATGATGTCTTCAAACAACAAACGATCTCCAAATAGCAAACGAGAAAAGAAAAAAAATGATTTCACAACGTAGACAACAAACGAATTTTTTTGGATTGCACGGTAGACTCAATGCGATTTTTGGTTAGGTTTTGTATTGATGAAATCGATGTTTTGGAGCGGTGACATTTAATAAAATCGATTCTTAGGAGTGGTGGAATTTGAGATTGAGAATACGTGAAATTTTGGAATGGGTTGATTAACTACAAGGAGAAAAATATGGGATATTTATTTTGGAGATTTTTGTTTCCATATATTGTTAGGGATATTTTTGACATATTAAAAATAATAAATATACTAAAAATTGAATTTTATTAATTGCATTTATAGACATAAAATCTCTTATAAGAGGACCTATGGCAAATTGCCCCTTTTTACTATGTTGTTTTTCAAAAGCACAACCGTCAAACCAACATAGTTACATAATTTATTGCTCCTTTCTTTTCCAACATGTCTTTTTACATTCATGTTCTCTTAGATATCCAATTTCATTTCAAAACCAATTTAATCATAACAAAAAAAAATAAAAAATTATATCATTAAACTTATTCCATATTTTAATTTTGTTCAAATTAAATTCTAAAAAAAATCGTTATGACAAATATTTAATATTAAATAGCAAATACAAACATAAAAAGGGAGGTTGGTTATTCAAACATACATATAAGGATGGTGGTAATTTGAGACATTTAACAGTTTCTTGATTTTGTTGCATTACTATGGTGCTAATAAGTTGACCGAGAAAGCAATATCAGGTCTAGTGTTACTTGCAAGATACATTAGTCCCCCAATGGCACTACGATAAGGCACTTCTGGACCAAGTAATTCTTCATTCTCTTCTCTATGACATAATGGATCTTTCTTTATATCCAACGATCGAACAACCTTAGGATTACTCAACGGATGAGATTTATCCATGTAAAATCGTTTTAGAATCTTTTTCTGTATATGCGGACTGATGGATGAAGATTCCATTGAACAAATGCTCGATCTATAGGGTTGAGAGATTTTGAGTGTGAGGTCTTTAGAGATTATGAGATTTTGTTAACTCATTATGACTATTAAATTTTTTCTAATAAATATTTTAATTTATTGAT